CAGGTTGACCAAATCGCAGATTCTGTCGTTAAGACCTCTTTTTGTTTGGTTCGTATCTGAAATTTGGTTCGTCAAATCGCCATTCTTGTTGAGTCAGTAAGACTCCATTTGTTGGATTGGTAGATGAATAGCACATTTGTTGGATTGATACCGTTTCTCCAAAAATGAAGGATGCTGTACCTAGACTCTTAGACATGTTTGTGAGGAAAATGAGGAGCATCCACTCAGTTTACAGAGATTCTTGGACCCCAAAAAGGGGTATGGGTCAAATCAGCACAAACAACGACAAATCATGTTGATCCAGAAATCCCATTGACTTGACCCTAGTCCCCACTAGAAATACATAAGTTTAGTATATCATATCATTCAAAAGTAGCCATGGCTGGGAATTTCCCCAATTGCAAGCCATCGGCCTTTAGAAATTGAATAGCTCATGAAACATATGAATTATAGAACGCCTGGTATTCAGCATTTTTCACAAGACATTTTTTCACCTTGATTTTGACCCATTTTGACATTCCCCAAATGTTATTATTCTGAGTTATTAATATGATCCTTCTTCTTTTTAATCTCATCATCATGATGACGATGATGACGATGATGATGATGATGATGACGATGATGATGATGATGATGATGATGCGGATTCTTATTATTATTGTTGTTGTTGTTGTTGCTGTTGTTATTACTATTGCAACTCTAAAAAGATAGGAGAGTTGGAAAGGTGGAAATTATGATGGAAACATCATCACACCGTCCTGGATATATTTTTTTTTACTTTTTTTGGTTGCTTTATTATTCTTATTTTTCTCACTAGTGGCATCATTATTTTATCGAAGGAAGTTTAGAAGTCAAACTTCCGACAATATGGACAGATGAAAAGCAGAGCAGGGAAGAGGCAGAGAGAAGAGAAAGATTAGAAGAGAGAAGATCAGAAGAGAAAGAGTCAGAAGAAAGAAGATGCAGATGCGCGAAAAGGTAGGAAAGTCGCGAAGCACTGTGTTTTTCCAATGATTTGAGGCTCCGGAGGGAAAAGTAGGCTCGCTAAAGCGGCGGGTGCGGAGCCAGCTGGCCAGATGAGAGATGAAAATTTGCACGCCGTTGTGGCGCGAAGCAGATTTCGAAGTGAACATGTACAAAACACACCATGGTCGGACCACTTTTGGCAGTTGAGATGTCGAAAAAGTGCACGCCGTTGTGGCACGAAGCACATTTCCAAGTCAAAATGTACAAAGCACACCAGGTTCGGACCACTTTTGGAAGTTCAGACGTCGAAAAAGTGCACGCCGTTGTGGCGCGAAGCACATTTCCAAGTCAAAACGTACAGAACACACCAGGTTCGGACCACTTTTGGAAGCTCAGATGTCGAAAAAGTGCACGCCGTTGTGGTGCGAAGCACATTTCGAAGTCAAAATGTACAAAGCGCACCATGTTCGGACCACTTTTGGAGGTTCAGATATCGAAAAAGTGGACGCCGTTGTGGGGCGAAGCACATTTCGAAGTCAAAATGTTAAAATCACCAGGGGTTCGGACCACTTTTGGAGGTTAGATGTCGCTTCACTTCGCTTCACTTCGCTTCACTTCGCTTCGCTACATTACACTACATTACACTACACTACACTCCACTACACTACACTACATTACACTACACTACACTCCACAACACTACAACCACAACTACACAACTACACAACTACACTCCACTACATTCCACTAGACTCCACTACACTCCACTACACTAAATTACACTACACTACAGTACATTACACTACACTACACTCCACTACACTACAGTACACTACACTACATTACACTACACTACACTACCTTCCACTACACTACACTCCACTCCACTACGCTACAACTACAACTGCACAACTACACTCCACTACACTCCACTACACCTCACTACATTACATTACACTACACTCCACTACACTCCACTACACTAAATTACACTACACTACACTACATTCCACTACACTCCACTACACTACATTACACTACACTACACTACACTGAATGACACTGCACCAGATAGATAGATAGATAGATAGATAGGTAGATAGGTAATTAGATGAAAGAGAGAGAGAGAGATAGATAGATAGATAGATAGATAGATAGATAGAAGATAGGTAGGTAGGTAGGTAGATAGACAGAGAAAGAGAGAGAAAGAGAGGAGACCTCAAGCACCTTTCGGTCCATCAGTGGATTCGCTCTGCCATCCCCGGTTCACAACAACCAATCTCTCCTATAGGTTTCCTATTTTTGAAACTTCCGCCACCGCCTTGTGCGGTACTACTGGTAATCACGGCTAATCACATTCCCCCAATATTGAGCATCCCCTAAATGGTTCCAAATGTACACATCCTTTGCTAAACCATGGTTTCTGGAGGGGTAGTGTTACTGTATTATTATTGCTATCATTATTACTAGTATTACTATCAGTTTTCTTACTACCACTATCATGACTATTTTGACGTGTACTTACAGTACATGTATACACATACATGCATGCATGCACGCACGCACGCACGCACGCAGACATACATACATACATACATGCATGCATGCATACATACATACATAGATACATAGATACATAGGTACATAGGTACATAGGTACATAGATACATAGATACATAGATACATAGATACATAGATACATAGATACATAGATACATAGATACATAGATACATAGATACATAGATAGATAGATAGATAGATACATACATACATACATACATACATACATACATATATGTATACATGTTACAACCCATGCATGAGACAAACCCCACATCGAAGCACCGAGGCTGCGCCGGTCCAAGGCGGAAACACCTTGGAGCCTGGCAGCAGCAGAGGCAGGGTGTATGGGCCTATCGAGCCCAAAAGTGACGGGTTTTGGACATGTTTATTTATGTACAGCAATTATCAGTAATTTCTATTTGGTATGTTCATAATGAAAGATATATCATATATACATATAGATCTAGTCTAGTCTATTCTAATTTTAGTTCTGATTCTGACTCTGTTTGTGATTCTGATTCTGATTCCAATTTTATTTCTATTCTATTCTATTCGAGATATTGCAATTTTAATTGGTACATCAGTTATATCTATGTGGATAGATATGATAGATATCATTCGTAGATGAAGAATCCCTAACAAGTTGCTGATGTTGGGTTCAGCATCCCAGATGTGGCTCAGCTGGGATATGGATCCCCGGCATGCCAAGTTTTACTCAAGCTTCTCATTTTTAGCTGGCGAACATATTTTCTGTTTTTTGTGACATCCAATTGATGTTTCACTGATGTGGCATTGGTTTTAAGTGTTGGTAGGCAGGTTTGCAGCTTTGCAGTTGAAGGGCACAGTTGCAAACACCCTTAAACAAGTCCATCACACATTTCTGTTCCTCAAGTGGCAGGGATTATTTGTAGAGATTAATAGATAGTGTGTTCAACTTGGGGTTAAAATCGTTGTGTTCCCAGCCCCTGGATTCGAGGGTAAAGTGACCAAATTTCTGCCTCTAGGCCACCAGGCGTTTGCCGAGCCTCACCTTCGAGGAGCTTGCAGAAGTGGCAAATGCGTCGGGGAGCTTGGCCGCTGGGGCCGCTGGGGATGGTGGTTTTGGGTTTACATCGATCAATCGCAGAGCAAGGCACCAAGAATTGATGAATCACTTCGTCGAAATGAGTCAATGAGGCTTGCCTTTGGTCCTTCAATTTCTCCAAGATGCGGAGGCGACTGGAAGAGCCAGGTCCTAGTGAAGAAAAACATCACTTCGTTAGACAATAACTCAATAGAAGGGTATGTCGTGGTATGTCGGAATTCTCACCTAGTCATTCCTAGTGGCAATGAAAAGATTCTTCATTGGGCAATCGGCAATCAGCGTTATACACGGAGAGATAGCATCAACGGAAGAATCACGGGAGCGTAGCTGCTTCTTTGGTTGTGCTCAATCATCTCCCCATATTTTGATTCTCAAACCCCTGGCTTGTCGCTTTGGAACTAAAACGTTATCCAATTCTATTGGCTATATCTCCACTTCAAGATGTTTTTTCAGCTGGTAAACACAATCATAAACCTCCAAGTTTGGAAGGTTAATTATTGGGTTTACCACATTGTACAGTTAGTTGACCCCTACATTTTGCTCCAGGCCTCTCATCACCTTGGCCCGAACTAGTCAAGGAAATCTTGGTCAAGATGCCCATGGTGCGCCAGTGGAAGCATGTTGAAATCCCACCTGATCAATACGACATATACCGAAATGAAACCCTGGCTTCGTATTGGATCGATTCAAATTGGGACCCATATTACGGGGTATTGGAAAAGTATTAGTTGGAAGGAGTTCCGGAATGGTGATCCACAAGCAACCGCCATTTCTCAAGAGAGTTTAAACAAAGCAAGATGGGAGGGCTACATGGGGTTGAGGAGAGGGGATGGTTCAGATCATGCATATAGTACATATAGCTTCTCAACGTTGGATCAGTAGCCAGCCACACTTCCCTTACTGTCAGGGGGATGTAGAAGGAAGCATTTGGTCAGACTGGATTCATAGTCCTACTCTATCCCAGAAAAAAACATGAATGAACCACCGCGCAAGGATGCGACCAAGAAGTGCAGGGCAGTCTCGGCATCGGATTCTATGAGTTTAAAAATCTTGTGGGGATGGATGAAAAGCTGTTCTGCGATATTTTGGCGGATGAACCAACATTTTTACCGCCAACATCTATTATGTTTTGGTGTTCACATTGTATTCCGCAGAAGATTTGTGGCTCTTGGCCGATTTGCCAGAGACCAAAAGTTGTGCCAAGCAGGCCACAGCCTCAGACAGAGTGAAGAACTGAAGACGCAAATCCTATGTGTCTGTGATCTGATTTTCATTTGAATCGATTAAGATTCAGGACCTCCCAATATTGATGGTAAAAATAACCTACGTTTCCTGCACGTTTTCCCTTAAGCCAATCCAATGAAATTTGGGTTGTATTTGTCCCTGAGGCACAACCGGTTCATTAACCGTCCAGCTACAGCCGTAGCTTGCCAAAATGGAAATGGGTTGGGAACTGACGAAACAAACAATTGCCACTCTGACCACTGTCTGGCAGGCTACAGGCAGATAACATCAGTTGAATGATTTCTTTTTGCAGTTTGTTATTTCATGATGGCACTGCTGAGGATAACCTTTTCAACCTCTAATAGTGGCTTGGTCTGGCGACAGTCAAAGGCCAAGGGCAGGGGATGCGACTTGCAGCATCCGGTTGCTAAGTGAGATGATCCTCCAAGTCGTTGCTGTCCCGAGTTCGTAGTGGTACCTGGGTATGGGTTAGTGCCAAACCAACAAAAATTGTTTAAATGAATATCCCAGGAGGACACCCGTTCCTTAGATTGTTGGAATGCCACCACGGTAGGAATTAAAAGCGGGCAAAGGACGAGTTGTGACCCATTTACACATTTCTGCTTTCATTGGATCCTGTTCCATTACGAATTCTTGGTTGAATCCTCATTGTCATTGGCTGTATTTTCTACATCCCATTTCTTGTCCATTAAATAACAATTTTGGCTGGTTGCACTCCCATTTTTATCGTTGTCTGAGTCTGAGTTAAACCGACCATTTATGTCCTTCAATCCACACTTTTGATTTGTCAATCTCATTTGGTCCCCATAAAATCCTCATTATCACTGGGAAAATGCGTATTTGTGGGTAAATCATGGTAAATCCCCAATCATTGCTGGGTCAATGCCCATAAAATAAGCCTTTTTGTTTTTTCTTAAGTCATGGGGGATCCCCAAGTCACCATGGTTGTTTCAATACCAAGTCATTGTCATCCATGACCAGCTCTTGGGCCGAGGTATCGATGGCGCTCCAGGAAAGGCATCGATGGATGGCGGCCAACGTGGCCGCAGCCTTTGGCATGTCCGACAGGCGCAACGGATGGACAGATGGTTAATTTTAGTAAAGACTAGATTAGACTAGATTAGACTAGATTGGAGAGATCGCTTGATATGGATATAGATATATTACTGCATATGCATGTACACACCATGTATACATATTATGATATGTGCACAATATGTGTGTGCATATGCATATAAGAGACGCATCCGGCGATTTAAGATCAGAATTGCAGAATGAAAGGAAACTTCAGCTCATGCGCTCCGAATTGGAGCGTTTTTTTTTTCTCAGACTTCCCACTACTTTATGAGGTTTTCTTGTTTTCTGAGACTTTCCTATCGCAATTTGCGTTTGAATTCTTTTCACGATTTTGGACTTGTATCTTTCGCTCTTTTTTGCAGATTCTCTTCCACTGCAGTGCTTTTCGCTGTTTCTGCAGGGTCCATGTCGTTGAGCAAGTCTTGGGCGAGTACAATAACCTCAAGAAGTTGAACGACTTCTTGGAAGGCCCAGTGCCGTTTCAGTTTGATACTGATTCAATCTGATTCATGTAGATGCACATGGGCGAAGATGGGTGTATTCCTGAACCATCTTTATCCCGGCTGTTCATGAGTCTCACCTGAGCTTTGGGATATCTTTCACCGAGAAAAGAACCGATTCATGGGGTGTCGATCGGTAGCTTCAGGCAAGAGCAAGCACAAGCACGTCTTTGTGTACTACCAGCGGCCGGACGTGATCAACGATGCCAACGAGCTTGTAGATGCGAAAGGCACGGCTGACCTCCTGAGGGCTGTGTGTAAGGCAGGTATCCCGACAGGTTTTCGGGATAAAACATGATAAAACTGCTTCGACCATTCGGCTGGGAATTTGCGCTGCCAGTAGAGTTTTGGAACATTTTGGAACTCAACTCAGGTTGTCCAGCACTCGTGTTTTTTGACACAGGTGATGCAAAGCTCATGATCACCACTGGAGAGCATGAGGATGTCCGAATTAAGAATCGAGCTGTTCCTCGGCTTGTTGTGTGGGGCAAGTGATGATGGAGCTTGACTCATTTCCTGAAGATGGAGAACATCCAGTTCGCATTGAAAGGAAATTCACAGACTGAGAGTCGAGGGTTTCGATCCATAGCCATTTTTGTTTATGAATGCTACGAGAATTCCACCAGGCTGTCTGTCCTAGTATTCTGACCTTTTCCTAGATACCACTAGGACTTGAATTGATGTAGAGACAATCAGGCTTTTAGACTGGAGTCGTGTCAAATGCAGCTTTGAACCAGGTTTATTTTTTGCGGAATGTGGCTGACTCCAAGCCAGTGAAGGCCAGCTTTTTTTGGGGCTCGTGCAGGTCCAAGCAAGTTGGGTGAAGGCAAACTTTCTGACTGAAAAGCCGGGGTTTTGGCAATGTTGACTATGAAACCACCAATTATTTTTGGAGGACCCAAGTTGGTTGGGATCTAGATCTAAGTGTGATTTATCCTCCAGTTTGTTCCTCCCAGTTCTTCGGTAATTGAATCCCATTATTGTCGAGAACTAAGATAAGTTCAGGCCCAGTTGATCAAACTACCCCCAAGTGTTGGGGATATTTCCCATTTTGCTTGAAACATATTCATATATATATATACATACATATGGACATACATATAAATGCATATACTTATACTTATACTTATATATACATACATACATATGATATATGTATTTCGATATGTAATATAATATTCTGATATGATATGACATAGCACAATATACTATGATATAACATGTTCCCTCCAAACCCCACGTTCGCCCACACCAAATAACACACCCAAACCATATCATATACTTGTCACCAGAGGATGAATGAAAACACTGGCTATAGACAGCGATTTTGACTTTAGTTTTTCAATGGTTTCCAGGATTTATATAGGGTTTTAATTTAGGGTTTAGGCTTTTAGGTTTTTAGGATTCCAGGGATTCAGTCTTTTCGGATCTGCGGGATCCGATGGCCTCATCTCCCAGGCGGATGTGGCCTCGGATGGTGACCTGCTCTTCGGGGAGATGGCGGCATCTCCCTTGGAGAGTGGGCAGCTGAGCGATGGAACCGATGGAACTCAGCGATGAAACCATGGAACATCTTGGGAAATCCCCTATAAATGGACCTTAAAATTGGAAAATCATCAAACATCATCTATAAATCGAGAATTTTCAATGCACAAATTGGGATGCAAACCCTCTGGTAGCAAGCATAGACGTGGAACAGCCACCATTTCAAAATCATCTTCCGAACGAAAAACCATTGATGTTAATTTTTCCTAGGGTACCCTCTGGCAACATGGCAAATGGAAATCCTTTCCAGCTGGCAAAATCATTTCCAGCCAGCCATGTTTGACTACTGGAGGGTACGTTAGATGATGAAGGGAAATATCATCCATGCATTTTTGGGACTGGCCATGGAAGATATATGTGTAATATATATATATATACGTATAATAGGATGCTATATAACACTGGTTCATTTAATGAGATGCTAAAGGACATGGCCAGGCTGGAACTCCTAGAGCTAACGGAATCTCATCCAAGGAAGATCCGTTCCGGCAAAAAACGGCCGTCGTATCACACTATAATTGGATTGTAATTTGGTTGTTAATTATGCTGTGTACTACATTATATTATACTACTCTACTCTACTCTACTATACTCTACTCTACTATACTATGCTATACTATGCTATACTATACTATACTATACTATTACTATACTATTACTATACTATTACTATACCATTACTATACCATTACTATCCTATTACTATACTATTACTATACTATTACTATACTATTACTATACTATTACTATACTATTACTATACTATTACTATACTATTACTATACTATTACTATACTATTACTATACTATTACTATACTATTACTATACTACTAATACTAATACTAATACTAATACTAATACTAATACTATACTATACTATACTATACTATATACTATGTACTATACTATTACTATGCTATTACTATGCTATTACTATGCTATTACTATGCTATTACTATGCTATTACTATGCTATTACTATTACGATTACTATACCATTACTATACCATTACTATACCATTACTATACCATTACTATACTATTACTATACTATTACTATACGATTACTATACTATTACTATACTATTACTATACTATTACTATACCATTACTATACTATTACTATACTATTACTATACTATTACTATACTATTACTATACTATTACTATACTATTACTATACTATTACTATACTATTACTATACTCTTACTATACTATTACTATACTATTACTATACTATTACTATACTACACTATACTACACTACGGTTAATACATCATTGTTGTTTTGATTGTACTACGGTTAAGACTATACTACTAGACGACTACATGATTGGCAATGGGATAATCCCAGCCGGAGAAGTCTGTTGCCAAATGAGAATCCGGTTGATTTGAGGGATTTTTTCGGGCTTCCTGCATGCTCAGGTCTGAACACAGGCAAGGTGAACCTTGGGTGAGCTGATTGGGAAGGTCTTATTGGTCAGGTGGCTTTCCAAAGGCCTTGTGGCTTTTTGTCAATCTTCTCATAGGATTTGTAGCCTCCAATGCCACCGGGAACGAGTTATAATTCTCCATTCCAACAACATGTTTTTGGGTCAATTATGACAGAGCAAAGATGGCGCCATGGCAGCCAGGCCTCTTAGATGTCTTCAAGCCCTTGGTGAACCAAGTGGCCACTGACTGGGCATCCTGCGAAGCGGAACAAGCCAATGAGTCGGGTCCCCTGGGTCCCCTGGGTTGCCTGGGTCCCCTGGGTTGCCTGGGTTGCCTGGGTTGCCTGGTCCCCTGGAGGGTTGAAGTCATTGAAGTCTAAAAAGAGGGCTGGCCCCATATTCCATCTCATGGTGGATCCTCAATTTTTTCAAAGTGCCATAAATTGATGTCATTCTGGGCATCAGATTTCCATCTTTTTGAATAAACCGAGCAGTTCTGTGAAAAATTGCCTTGCCGTCGAGGTTCAAGACCACCTTCGAAAAGTTTACTATTGAGCTCTCTCAGGCTGGGGCAGCACTTGTAAAGGGACCGAAGCAACTCAGAAAGCTGCAGAGACACACCATTTTTGAATCCGAAAACGGGGTATACTGTACGGTATACTTCTAACAGGCTAATTTTGGAGAAAGAAAATAACATAAATCACAAGACTTTGGAGTATCCTATTTTTAGATCAGCACAGGATAGGAATGAAACCATCAATCAGGTCAAAAACACCAAAACCTCGACATTGCTGATGATATGTCCCTGCGACTTTTCTTATTCTTTTTTCAATCACCATTTTCTGTACGGGTATGTCTGAAAATGGGGCATGTACCATTAATTAATTCTCACACTTTTGGGCAAACCTATCCACTGATTCATCATATTTCAGACATATTTCATTCAAAATAGCCCTGTTGTGGCTATGCCTCATTTTGAGCCTTTCTTTTTTATACCCGGTTTGTTGAAACAGCACCTGTGGCACAAGGACTTGACCATCCAAAATCTTATGAACAATGGCCATAGTTGCCATAGTTGGCGGAGAGCCCAATCAAATCACATTCCCCAATCAAATGCACGGCAAAATGAACAGTTGATGTTCGAATTTCCACGATTCTGACTTAAATCATCATAAAACAGCCCTTTTTTCTGGGCCTTTTTGCATAGCTATATATATATATATCTATATATATATATATATCTATATATAGCAATGTTAAATAACCAGAGGCGAAAATCTGTCGCTGAAATCGCCGTTTTGGTTTGGGACTCAGGGCATTCAGTCGCTCTCCGGTGGCATCGACCTGCCGAGCCCCGAGCCGACGGATGTGGATCTCCGAAATCAGACCCTGAACGACGTGGCCAAGGCGACGATGGTCGGGGTCTTCAAAACAGCATCGAGCCATTCAAAACAGCATTGTTGATATTGTTGATAGGTTATTGATTGGTTATTATATGTTGTATATCCTGTTGTATGATGTTATGATTATACTACCTGTTTCAATGGGGATGATAGGAATATTTTCTAGCCAAACTGTATTATGGCATGGGATAGAGGTATTTTTCATGGCTCAATTGTTGGCCCAAATAATGGCTGAAAAATTCTGATTTTGTGACTCTTTTAAGTTTTAAGCAACACTCCCTATGATTCTGGGAGAAATGTGTTTTCTTTTTTCTTTTCTATTCACCTTTTCAATGATCTGATTCACATAGATCACACATGCAGACATATATCATCATATATCTATATCTCAAAATCGATATTTGTATCATCTTATATATACTATTTTCTATGTAAATCATATATATATATATGTATATATGTATATGTATATACATATACATATACATTATACATAACAAGAGTAAAAGAGTAAAAGTCGACCCCAGGACCACCCGGAGCTGGTGACGAAGTACGAACAGCTCTTGGAGGCCGATGCTGCAATTCTTCCGGTTGAGATTCGGGACGGGGTGTACAGATTCCAGATGTGTGTACACACATATATATATATACATAATATATATATATATACACATGTATATGATTTATATATGTATATATATATATGGTATCTATAGATGTATAGATGTATAGATCTATAGCTATATGTGAATCTATAGATTCGGGTTTTGTTCTGACCAATCTGTCTCCACTGACGTGAACATCGTTTTGTTTCGGAATTCCTCTGGGCTCAAGCTCAAGCCGTGTCAGGTCTGGTGTCGTCAAATCGAGCAATACCTGGAAACGACTTTGGAGGGGCAACAGAAGGACTGTGATTCATCGCCCAGAGATGGCTTTGGACAATGGGAATGGCCCATTTTAATGGCAGGTTCAAGGGCGCTATGATGAGAAACCATGGTTGGAATTGGTGGAGAAATACCCCATTTATGTACATTTATGGCATTTTGAAGGTCAAAATGATGATGAACCCTTAGAATTGGGGGGTACTGCAGGTAGCCCGCGTTCTTTCAAAACTGGATAGTTGGTTGGGTATATCTGCCATGATTCATTGCATTACTATTCTTGTTGGATTTGTTTCTTTTCTGCATCCAAATACTTCAACGGTGCAATTGTGCGGGGCATCTCAACAAATTCATCCAAAATTATCATCATTGTTGGCCCGAAATATTCATCCAAAATTATCATCAACATGGCGTTCTTCATTACCATCGTAAACCCAAACATAGTGACTTTCCCATAGATCAACGGACAGGACTCGGCAGGTGACCAAGGGCCGCGTACCGAGCTGGACTTCTGGCGAAATAGGCCCCGGGCAAGGAACGCGGTTCATGGCCCCATGGTTCCAAGCCAGTCGAACGGGGGATATTTGCCAGTGTATAGATATACATATATATATATATGTACGTACATGTACGTACATAGGTATATCTAGTTACTACCTGAGACGCACATGAAAGTAAGGGATCATGATATTTTTATTGTTTCGTGTGGTCGCACGGGGTTTTCTCAAATTGGGCGATTTGCCGGTCGCAAATGATCTTCTAATTCATAGGATGCAAGGGGATTCAGTATTTCAGTCAACCCCTCTATGTATGTATATATCTATATGTATGTATGTATATATATATATTATATACATACATACATATAGAGTTGTATAGATGTATATATATATATATATACATCCACATATGCATATTCATATATAATATTATGCAATACAATCCAAGAGACAACAGATGACTTGTGGAAGCACCACCAAAGACCTTCCAGGCTACAGAAGATCACCTCTATCACGGAGCAACTCAGGAGAGAACTGGGGGCAGGGTTACTTTTTGATGGGGTAAATGATGCTGGACAGGGGAAAACTTAGGGATACAGAACCCAACTAGAATGGGGATATGTACTGGGATAGAATGGGATATACAATCAATCAATATCATACCTGTTTTTTTTTAATGGGCAATATTATACCCCAAGCTCATTTTCTTAAGGAACATGATGATAAACTAACCATCAAATTCTTTTGGGGTATTCAATTTTCAGACAACCGCACATGAGGCTCCCACCAACAAAAGATTGGGGTGTAAATGTACAGAATCGGGGGCTTAACCAACAAACTTGGGTGCAAAACCAATCATTTTGGCGATATACACCTATAATATGCTTGGGGGCATCACTGGCAGTTTGATAGCCCAATTGAGTCCAATTGACTTGCTTATTCTTATGATGCGCGGCTCAGCCACAGTTTGAAGATGGATGATTTCGGGATTGTACTACAAAATCTCTCAGAATTTCAAGGGAAAATCGACATGGTAAGCATGGCCTTCGGCAGATTTTCACGATTTTCGCAGGACCAAAGAGCGGAAGATGGTCTTCGGCTTGCTGCGCACCATCACAAACGTGAGTCAGGAGGCAGGAGATGTAAAGACACCGATGCAACTTGGTAAACCGAATACCATAAACATCCATAAACAGTATATACCCCAGTGACCCAGTCGGAGTGATCATTCAAATCATTCCAAACGAAAGGGGGTGATGATTGGGTTTACGGCATTCGTTGGGCTTTGCAACCGGGTTCCAGATCTGCAGGTAGCTCCGAAGAACCGCCAGTCTGTGCTTTGGCTGCAGATTTTCAACTTGGGTCGGGAAAGGTGAGGAGATGGTGATCAAACCCTAATACTGAGGAAACCAGTATATAACATATTATATAACAGTGGACCTTCCTGCTTTGTTCAATGGGAATGTTCAGCTGAGCCAACTCTCAGGGGGCCCAAACATGACCAAATTAGATATTGGTACCACTACATGCTCACCCTATCATCGGGTGGAGCGAACCATCCTGGAGCAGGTTTTCAACACGCTCCGGAGATGGAAGCAGATCGAAATTGCCATCACCGAAGCATTCAACGAGGCAAAAGACAATGCCACTTGGTGAAACAACGCAGATTGCGAAATGCCCAGAAGCTGGATTTCTACATGTCACTTTTCGTAAGTTGTCAGAGCACTCATGCTCGCATCGAGGTGAAGTATTTGACCACCTTGGAAAAATTCATTGAGCCACTGTACACCGGTACTCCTAGTACCATCATTGAGCCTTGGACACAGATTTTTTTGGAAGCCAGTGCCGCACTGAGCCATCCTAGCCAGTCAAAAAAAAAAGTAACAAATCATTTCTTCTCAACCAAGAGTTGGCGACAGTGAGTTAGATCTCTATCCTTTCTATTTGAATCATGCTCAAGTTTGTTGTGAAACAAGAGTGCAGTCGAAGCTCATGTGTGAGCCGCAGTCAAGCACGCTGCAGAACAGCTACAATCATCCAAGCAGCGTGAATCATACTATGATGCTCAGCACGATCCCAAAGCTGCCAAGGACACATTGCCAGCATTGATGCCACTTGGATCAACGGTGTGATACTAAGGATAGAGTGACAATCTATCTATGTAGCGCCAGTGAGGCGTAAGTGAGATCTGGGAAATAGAGGGTGATCATCCTTGATCCTTTGCTGCTGCCGAGGAATGCGGTGAAAATGATCCACACCATTGCCCGCTACTACAACACCACCGACGCTTGTCTAAAGATCATACCCGTTTGGCTGGATAAACTCTGACTCTGACTTTGTTTGTTCGCCGTTGTCGAAAGCTGCCGCATTTCGACACCGAGGAACGCATGACCAACCTTTTCGCAAAGATTACCAACCAGATGATCACCAACTGCAAGGTCGGAAACAGCTAAGTTGGTGGGATGGGGATTTTGATGTTGAATCTGGCAAAACATGAAGATCGGCACCATGGTTTCAACATTCACCAGGTGGATGCTAAGCTCCCCGTTTCCCTGCACAGGAGTGTGTTCTGGAAGGTGAAGAGTCAGAATTCCTCTGGCAGAAGGATCCGCTGGTACTCATCAAGACACTTCGCTGTCAGCCTTATTATATTTTTTTATCTGGATGTTTTGATGTCTTTTCATTTTCAATCCTTTGGAGGAGTACGGATGTGAAGTAGCAGAAAAGAGACACTATTTGCGCTGCTCCGTCTGAGGAACCTGTGGTCTTGCATCCGTCTGAACGATGAATACCAGGAGTACTACCGCCAGACAAAGGAGACACTTTTGACTCTGCCCAAAGGCGGGACTGGACTGGGCTCGGTGGGTGAACACCCCAACAGAAACAGCCCACACCTTGGCATGATCACCTCCAAGGTTGTTTAAAATATCTGTCGAACCGACAGCTTATAACCCAGTTATACGACCCTGGAGGGCGCCTTCTCCACCCCTTGATTGTGGTGGTTGTTGGGTGGGTTTGATGTCTGAGGCAAGCAGTTCGACTTCAGCGAGACGCTGATTTTCGGTCGTTTCGACCTTTTCTGCCGGCGAGTCACCAAGCTGATCGACATGTTCCAAACAGTCCACCAGTTCACGAATCTTGGCTGGGCTGGATGTTGGTCAGGGTGGTTACAATGGCAGGTTTGTTTGCTGTGTCAGAATGCAGTTGCAAATATTCGGGACGGAGGCCTTTCGAAGGAATTCCATTTATATGTGTAGATATTATGGTGCATTCATTTAGATCGATCGATAGATAGGTGAAGAGTCAGGCGAGTTTCCCACTTGGCCCGGGATTGCTTCTGCTAACTGAAAATCCCGAGGTCTTTGTCCCAGCACCGCTTTGATGGGATGGAGCCGCTAGTCCTCTCCTTCAAGAAGACCTTGGAGGCACAGCTTGATGTAGCTCAAGATGAATCCCCACACCCTAAAAGGGAGCACAAAACGGTCAGATCCACAACAATACCAGGGTTTGCCGCAGGTACTGTTAATAGGGGGAAGGAAGAAGTTGTTCATTGTTTACATTCATAATTTGAGTTAATCCAAAGATGATCAGCCATTGTGAGTTCGTTTGGTCCTCATTTGGTGAGCCATATCTGAATGATCAAAGATGTACGGCTTTGGGACTTATGATTGCATGAAGCGCTTTGTTAAATTTGCTGCATGAATTGCCATGAAACTTCATGATTTGCAGGAGTTCCAGTTCAAGCGACACGATCTCTTGGAATCTTGGAGCTTTTTGAGTTGGACATTGTCATCGTGCTGATGCCAGTTGGGTTGACAGGGTATAGGCAGATAGGGTAAAGGTCAAACTGTGAATGAAGATGTTGCCGCAGCCGTGTTGGTCATGAAAAGTATTGTTTCAAGAACCGTTCTTTGTGAACCTTTGTCGGCCCAGACGAAAGCACGTAGACCTTATATAAGTTTGCCGGAGATTCTTGCCGTGGTCCACAGTCGAGGACTTCCACAACAATCGCTTCGACCGTGACTACGTGGAGTTCAATGTACGCATCTCTGTGCCTGGGCAGATTTGGGATGGCTTGACATTTCCATTGGTGTTTGCCCCCTGCTTGCCCCGAAAGTTACAATGGTGTTTAGCCCGGAATCCTTTGACATGCTCAAATACCTGGGCTGCGACAGTCTTTTGGTATTCCTGAGAAGACGTACCTCAAACTCTCTAAGCCCTAAAACCAAACGACCTAAGAACCCACACCTAAAACCTCAATCCGAAAACACTGCGTTATGCAGTATTTTCTGCAATCTCTCCAATCATGCAAGATGGCATCCCCAATGTCGGAGTCTGAGCAAACCACGACGTTTATGCGAAATTTGGTGCACGGCATGGTTTCCCAGGACTTGGAGAGTAACCTTCGGCAGTTTATCAACCAATCCTTTGAGGCGCCGGTCACCGTTTGGAGGTTGATTTCGTTGGTAGCATGGGAAAACTCACTGCCAATCTACAACCGCACTTTTCCGTGTGCCATTGGTCAAAAGTTGAATCTGCTGATAGGGATCATACATTCTCATTATGGGATGGATGACCATAACCCATATACAATCTCTTGATCATGGCCGGCAAAACTCGAGAAAACTTTCTAGGCTTGCAAATCGTAATGGAGCACTGCTTGAGCTACAGTTAAATATCATCCCCCCAAAAGAATCACACCGATAGAACATGTTAGATTCTATTAGATTTATGTATATCATTCATAATTTTTGTGGGGCTTTACTAACTTTATTATTTTTCTGGCTAACCATATCCTCCACGTCACAGGCTATTGCCTCCATCGAGTCGTCTCTGAAGTTGTTGGCCAAGTTTCAGAGCATCCTGCAGCGCGACAGAGCCTGGGATGCAGCGATTTGAGCGATTGGTGGAGCGAAACAACCGGTGGTTTGGACCATTTTGAAGCCCAAAATCCTCCAAAAATTGGGGAAAATGATGTGAAAACTCAAGGGGAAAGCAATGGCATTAAACTTTGAGCAATGATTATATTGGATTGTACTTGGGGGTATAGAACTCAACGGACACCCCAATTGGAGGAGTTTGACGTTTGTATTTCTTTTGGGTGTGTGGATTGAAGAACGCTGAAGACTTGATTTCCAAGGCTTGCCACACTGAGTTTAGTCGTTTCCGAGGTTTGCGTCAAGATTTGGAGACCAAGTTTGCTGTGATCTTCCACAACTATGGCTTGGAGCTCACGCATGTGCAAGACCAGTATGAGAAGTACAAGACAGGCATGGCCTACAAGTCACCAAACAGCCACATTGGTAAGGGGGAAATATAGATTCTTGGGGAATCTACCATCTGGTTCAACGGGTAACATGATGTAGAATCCTTTACCACCATTTCAAGAGGTTCTGGGCTTTCTCACATGAAGACATGTACGGATAGTGCAATTCAGCACCATCCGCCAGTTCTGCTGTGCGACGAGGATCCTATAAACGGATTAGAGAAATCTTGGAGAACCCTAACATACCCTAACAAAACACATCAAAACACCCTTTTGGAATGTTTCGAAGGGAACATTGCAGGTTTCAGGTAAATCTTGACCCAACTGCATTTTTCCCGTTTCCTTGCTGCCAGGCCCTCCACTGGTGCGCAACCTTCCCCCGGTGGCCGGACACATCACCTGGTCTCGACACCTCTATAGGCAGTTTTGTGGCGGGAAATGCCTATAAAACACGGCGAGTTGACCACCAAATCTGAGGGAGACACCAACAAAGATGTTTGGCGTTATCCCAACTGGTTTATAGTCGAGATCAAAATCCACAGCGCAAGAGTCGGCTGGTGGGGCCGACCGCTTGTGAAAGAACCCATGACCCATTTGAAATCATGGGATATCAGGGGCGTTTTCACTTGAAAACAGACTTGCGGTTTCTTGATATCACAATGACGACAAACTTTCTGAATTCTGGCCAGGCGAATTGAGGGGCCTATGCAAAAGTTCCAGACCAATCCTGCGGTTTTGGTGCCTTGGACTTCTGAGCTTTTGGAGTAGCGACATTTCTTCAGGGATATGGCTTTCATGAATTTTCCATGTCCCATACCTCTTAGCAGTCTTGGCACCATGGCACCTGACTTGGACCAAAGCCACGCTGATTTTTGGTCGGCCTTTGGACATCGGGATTGAGGCCGGGAGGGATTCGCGCAAGCTGATCCGAATGTACAACAAGATGGCCAAGACACTGGTGGAGTTTGAGACTCTGTGGTACCAGGTCATGGCCCACATTGCCTGTGTGGGGATGGGTGAAGCATGGTGAAGCATTTTTTTTAGTTAAGACAGACTGCTGGTTAATCAGCCAGTAGAAATGTAGCTTGGATGCATTTTGGCCAAAGATGTGGAAAATCCAAGGATGTTTTCATTTTCTCCAGCTTTTTGTGTTTTGGATCTTTCTTTCACATGTTAATTTCAGATTTGAGATTTCCATGTGGGTGTCTCATGGAAGTGTATGGGAGTGATATTATTCCCCTTCGGGTCCCGTCAGCCAGGGGTTCCCTGTAAGTTCCACCAGATTTCAGATTCCCAATGAATTTATATTCTTCACATCATCATTCAGATTGCCTATAGATCACATATCTATTTATAATATAATTTCTTCCCATCATCCACATCCCAATTCACCATTCAGATTGCCCAAATTTTGATTCTGCACCATTCACATCCACGTGAAGCCGCGCAGGCCTGGGTGAGCAGCATTGAAACCGTGAAATCAGGTCTGCAGGCCACCTTGATCATCAAGCGACTTGGACCAAGGTGACCCAGCGAATGGGCGATGGGACAAATTCTGCGTTTGAGTTTCTCCAAAATTGTTATTTTAAATGATTTTAATGGGATATACATATATATATATAAATGGAAACAATGATATCAATCATCAATTTTTTTGGGTACCTTGTTCTTAGACAAACATGTGTAAATTCAATGTACTGTAACTATATGTTGTGTAACTATTCAGTCTTCATTCATTTTCTGTGAGAATTCTCTTGCTGGGGCACGACCATTTTGGATCCAGACATATCCAGACCCAGTTCTTGCCCTGGTATTTCGGCTGAAACTGCTGAAACACTAAGTGTTCCTGAGAGTGCCATCGCCGAACAACGGATTTCAATGCCTGAACTCAAAACCCTTCTTTACTCAAAAAGTGCGTTAGTGTTTGATCCAACAGTTGTAGGTACCCCACGCCAGTGGTTGCACCGTTCTAGATGTCACACTCCCACTGTCCACACTGTTTTTCATATCATCATGCTGGAGCAGATACCACATGAAGTCGGACCATCCCCCATAAAAAACATCGTTTGTAAGCATCGAAACGTATTTCAACAGAACAATCATCTATCTATTCCACATTACCAGCCATTGTTTTCCATCATTTCCCACAACGAGGCATCCTGATGATGGCATGCGTTTCCACGTGAACTTCGACTGGGAGATCCTGCAGCTCATCCGAGAGACCCGCTGTCTGGACCGCATGGGCTCCTTGGCAGAGTTGGTGCTCAAACCAATCCACTGATCTGTGGTTTCAATTGGTTTTACAATGTCGGAAAACAGATGACTTATAGATCTTGTTGGGTTTGTAGAATTGGCCATTTCGCCAAGCAAAATGGGGGGGTAGCCAGCAACTTTGAGGATCTAAGCTACCAAAAATGGATTGGTTTTGAAGGGAAACAAAACCTATAACTGGTGGTAAAAGACATGGTTTCCTGTTATGATTTCCCTTACAATTTACGATGCATTGATTAATTGTTGAAATTCGTTTAACTCCATTAAAAAGAAGCAGATGACTTACAGATCTCGATGGCTTTGTGCGGCCGAGGCGGTGTGGAGATTCCAGAATCTGCCAAGATGATCTTGTTGCAGGAGCAGAAGTTCAAGACCTACAACCACGAGCTCTCCTTTTTCTTGAAGGAATACCGCCGCGTCACGCAGTCAGTGAAGCCCATTGCCACCAATTTGATGCGACCTCACATGGAGAATTTGGAGTTCAAGATGAGGCAAGGATAGCAAGGGCCATTTTTGTTTGGATGGCATGTAGATGTGCATCCCAGGCATGGTAGCAAATACGCCGGGTAAAATATCCCCACTTATAGAAAGTTAGATATGGGTGGATTATGAACCGCTATGAACCGCTTCCTGATTCCAGGGTCATCCTACAGTGACTGTTTTTGGAAAGTTCTGCCAGGCCGGGATTGGTGATCTTGACCTGGACCTCCATGAACATCGAGGCGTACTTGGATGAAGTGTGGAAGGAGCTGGACAGGCCGAGTCAGAATTGAATTGCAAGTTCGAGACGATGGTAGATCTTCGCAGTATAGGTATATAAGTTATATTATCTTATATGAAACTTATGTACTGTATTATAATCCATATATATATATGTATATACATATATGATATATGATTATATATATATATATATATCTACATACAACTATATACACACATGTCTACAACACATAAGCTAGTTAGTGCCTACGACCTTTAGCGTTGACCAAGCTGGAGGTTTTGGCAAAAAAAAAACGCATACACATAATACACACACACACACCCACCCCCCCACGCACGCACGCACGCACGCACGCACGCACGCACGCACACACACATTTTTGGGACGTACATCATTGCTTGATTGCAGTTTTCTGTAGTGAACAACAGCTCTAGGTTATTTTGAGATCCCTTCAAGTCCCCTGATCCGTTTTGCTTCTGGCGCCGTCTTCTGTAGGCTTGAACAGCTGGTGTTGGCGGTGAACGACCTGATGGAAAGCCGCATCGATGCCAATTTGAAGATCGTGGCCAATGTTCTCTTGGTGAACCTCCCAGAGGAGTTTTGATCTGCAGAATGCCGCAGTTCAGCGGTTCCATTTTCTTCAGGTAAAAACGACTCGTGTCCCCAGGCTGTCTTGATTGATATTGATCTGTTTCAATGCATTTCGAACCTTTTCTTGCTGATTTGATGCTGAAACAAATTGTTAAGTTTCAGCCCACAGGAGCAAGAGCTAGTGACCTTGGAGGAGTTTGTTGAGATGCAGGCGATATTTTGGGGGGAGTGAGGTTCTGGACAGGTGACAAACAATCAGGGTTTGTACATGGCAGGGTTCGAGAAGTTTTGCCTGTGTATGGCTTTGTGCCTTTTCTATCTTGAATGTTTATTTGAGGAAGATATGGGTTGTTTTTGAAGAAGGGTAGCCTCAATTCCAATGGATTGCCATCGTTTCTCACATTTTTGAATGGCCATGAATTCGGGGTAGATTCCCAATTTTTTTGCACCAAATCCGGCATTCATTGGTTTGTATTTTTGTTCAATCCCGATTTTGTCTGATGAAACCATATGAAACCCATTTTTTAATATTTTTTTCCCAATTTTAGATTATCAAACTTATCAAACCACAATGTTCCACCATTTGGAGCTTTGTCTCTGGGTCACAGGGGTGAAGCCGTGAAGCCGTTTCTTGCGCCAGAGGAACGGCATGTACGCGCCACAACAGACTTCTTGGTGGCCAAGAACGTAGAGATCGAGAATGCAGTGAACGATGCCTGGCCATGAAGGTCAAGCTATGTCAAGCTGGTTGTTTGGCTGGTCTAAAGGGTTATAGATCCCCGAACTGTATAGGAAATCATGGGAAAATATGGGGAAATATTGACCATTCCCTATGAATGGAGGTTTCTAGCTGGGAAACAAATAATCTATAATTAGATGATATTAAATGGATTTTTTTTTCATTACCATATTTGATTGAATGGTCATCTCAAGAGGAAGATTGTGTAGTAAGCAATAGGATCTTGGGGATACATATTTTGAGACAACCGACAACCGCCATGTTTTCTTTCGGAGGTAAGCTGTATGAAAGAGTGGGGACAGATGGGGACAGTAATGACATTCGCACCTGCCTTTGGCCCCTGAGGACATGCTGGGCATGATCGTTGGGTTCGAACTGGAGCCCCATGTTCCTGCAGTCACAGAGAGTCGCCAAGCTTCAAGAAGAGTATGGAAACATGGAATCAAAACCCCTTCGAGTGAAGAAGCATTTTTGGATGACAACATGGTCTTGTTGGATCTATGTCTTTCGCATGGAAAAGAGCTCACGCCAGTCCTCAATATGACAAGGAGAGACCTGTATGCACCTTTGGACACTCTGTCTTCATACTTCAGGATTGTAATGTGTGGTATCAATCATCGACACGTACGTAATACACACATATATATATAATTATATATAATATGTATATATTATATATATATATGTACATATACTATATACATGTGTACGTATGTACATATACATATAGACACACGTGTGTGTATATATATATATCTATATATATATATATAGATATAGGGGAGAGGCTTGAGGTTCCCCGGAACATCGAGGAACCTTGAGTCTTGCGATACAACAATACATGTCTGATCTTCCAATATACAGAAGGGGTGGCGGGGGGGGGTACGTATTAACGTCCTTTGATCTGCGTTAGAGCAAAGATGTTGTTACGTTGATATTCCTTGTGGCATACAGAAGGGGGGTGGGGGGGAGGGTGTAATAACGTCATTTGAAGTGCGTTAGAAGAAAGATGTTGTGACGGTGAAGATGCTGTTACGTTGAAGATGTTGCTATGTTGAGGATGTTGTTACGTTGAGAAGATGTTGAAGATGTTTTTAAGTTGAGGATATTGAAGATGTTGTTGCGTTGAGGATGTTGCTACGTTGAATATGTTTTTACGTTGAAGATGTTGAAGATGTTGTTATGTTGAAAAAAGGGGCATGTGCATTTTGCCCACGGTTCTCTGGAGAATTATAACATTTTCATGGGATCCATGAAAGCACTTCTATCAACACGCAACTCTACTGGTTTCTACGAAACAACATAACATGAAGAACTTGAAAAACCTAAGACTAATTAAAACCGCAGGCAACATACCCCCTGGTATGTTGTCCGTGTGTTGAAGTCGTTCAATGTGTGATCATGTTCCATGAAGACCACAACACATTGTAAACCGCAGTGAAAAATGACATTTCCAAATCTCCCTCCACCTCCACTTCAATTGCGTTCCGGGGAACCTCAAGCCCCTTTCCTATATATATATATATATGTTCACATATCTTCGGTCTGGTTTGGTTGGGATATGTGGGTCAATTTCAGTTCTCTGCCACCATCAGCTGCTCTGTCGATCGCATCACTTCATGCATGGTGTTCACCATGATTGATCAATTGGATGTTGTTCTTATTGAATTTTTATTTATTATTTGATCAGCAGTGGATGCCAAATGGAAGATCTCTCGATCTTGCCATTTTGGCTCAAGATCTATTTCCTGAGTTCGAAAAGCTCAGGGCCTGGGTGTACCCTTCGCTCATTTCATTCCTCCTCTCGTTCTAGCCATGTCACGCCGCTCTGGTTCTTGGAATGCTGGATACGGAGCTCAAGGCCGTGGCGGTGGAGGCGGAGGAGGTCAATGGAGTGGGCAACGATCGGGCCCCAACATGGCACACAACCCTTATGTTGTGCGGATGCCACGGTTCATGGAACCGATCGCAGAGGGGCCGGAGCCAGAGGATCAGTCAATGATCGTCATTGACAACCGAGACGATCGTATGGTTTCTCCTTTTCAGACCTGGTTGGTCTCGGAGATCATGGCAAATGCGGCGAGCTCAATCAACGTCCTGACAGAACGGGACCAGGTCATGCCGCCGAACTCCGGCTTTCACCTCGCGCTCTTTGGGAACTACACCCTTGACGGGATCAAGGTGGTCATCGCCATCTCGATCGAGTCAAACACTGGCAACACCTGTGCAGGGTGGGACGCAGAGACTGCTCAGGCTCTGGCCCACCCCGCTTTTCAGCCATTCAGCTGGCCGATGCTCCGTGACACGTCGGCGTCCTATGTGGACCTGAAGATCTACAATGGCAATGAGATTCTCCTCCACTGGATCTTCAGAGGCTTCCGTTCGGACACTGACCTCACGGTGCAGCAACAGTTCGTGGATGAGTATTTCGTTCGCGAAGCTAGCAAAGGTCAGCCGAGGCTCTCTGTGGTCGTGGCCGTGTTCCTTGGCTGGCGGGTCTCAGTGCTGAGTTTTGAGTGTGGCGGTCGAACATACTCGATCGGCCCCAAAGGCTCAGTTGTGGCTGGCGACTCTGCCCGCTCGAGGTTTGAGATGCGCGTCTGCTCTCGCGCCTCAGATGACGCTGTGGGCAATGACGCAGATCGCATCGAGATGAGGTTCAGAGATGCCAACAACCGCATTGATCTCAAGTGCTCTCGCACATCAGTGCCAGGGACTTGGCTCACAGTCTCCCACATCTCTGGTCCGACCTTGATCCAAACGATCAAGTCAGTTCGTGAAAACAAAGCCAGGGTCGAGGGACCTGAACAGACAGAGCAGTTCGCTCAACTTGCTGCCGTTCACGAAGGCTGGTGGAAGAGCTCTGTTTGTGAATCAGAAGACGATGTGGGGGTGAAGCTCGCTTTTGTGGAATGTTTGGAGCCTGGAAATTTCCATGTTCAGGCAAAGTCCAAGCTCTTTGAGAGAGCGCCGGAGATCGTGGCACAGAAAGCTTTGGCGGAGATGCGCCACACGAGCTCAGCTCCAGCTCCGGTTGGCCCTCCGGCATTGACGTCGGATGCTTGGCTCCGTGCAGAAGTTGCAGAAGACGATCAACCAACTGCTCATGCTGGTGAATTGGTTGCAGCAAGCAGGCAGGCGGGGATCGAGCTGAATGAACGCTCGTTCAACGTCCGCCACTCCAATCGGGGTGAAGCAGGGCACATGGTCGACGATGAACGTGACAGGGCTCGCATGGATCGCAGATTTGCGCGGTCAACTGCAGGGCTCACACCCATGATCTTTGCTGAGGAGATGATGCGCCGTTCCTACAACACATCGACGGCCAAGATCGAAGAGGTGGATGAAAGCTCTGAGCCACAGCAAGCGGCGCAGGCACGATCGTCGCAGTCGCAGGCACCACTTTGGGGCCCTGCAGGCGGCTCGACGGGGCCGGTGTCGTTCGGACCCACTACACACGATGCATAGCTCTGTGCCAATCGGTGAGCTCTAAAGGGGTGATCCCTGATTGAAGAGCTCTTGGCCTTGGGCAGATCATGTCGTAGGTCCGGTTTTTATCTGCGGTCAAATTGACTTGCAGCGGTTTTTAATATAGTAGCTCATCGACTTTATTTGAGATGAAAAACATTGATTTATTTTCTCCATGTTCATGTCCTGCTGCTCAGCCGTGACTTAGCTCTTTGATCTTTTTCTCGAACGGATGCGTTCGCAGTCATGTGCAGCTGATCAGCTGGGGGGTTGGGAAGATCTAGTCCCGGGGCGACCAACCGGTCGGGTAGATCCATCCCGGTCTTGGTGGTTCCCCCCTCCTCCCATCGGGCGATCCACGATGAGGCTACTGGTTGATAGGTCTGGGTAATCCTTCCTTACATAGGTTAGGATCCTAACCTGTAGGGTTGTAGGTTTGTTCCCGGGTTATCCTCGATGATGTTATTTAGTCCGTTCCCCTGTAACCCATGTTAGGTAGATCCCACCTAATCTAGGGTTACCCAGGATGGTGAGATCCCCACCGTCCTGGCAGGGTTTTCAGAGTAGGACGATCTGTCCTCTTATTTTACAGATCCTTTCATTTGATCCAGTCCAACCCGATCGGGGTGGATGATAGCTAGATCCAGCTATCGGAACGCACTGCAGGCGAGATCCTCAGCCAGCGGTGCATGGGTCCTGATTGCAGTTCGCTCCGGGCCCTCAGCGCTTAGGGATCAAGCGTGATAGCTCGAGAGTCATGGACCGCTCCATTTCTAGGTTTTTAGGTCTCCCAATTTTTGATGATCAGTTTAGGTCTGTTTTGAGAGATCTGAAGATGGATCATGTAGAGTTCTGGCTAGCCATGTCGGATGATGATTTCGAATCGGCTGATGAGAAGTTTTCTTCGTTTTTGCCAGCTCTTACTGATGACCAAGAGATCTTGGACAAGATCCTTGTCAGATTGGAGATGGTCAACCTTCTGGCCGACATGGTGGCGCGCTCGTCCAGCAGGGTCCAAGCGGAGATCGCTTCGGATCTTGGATACGGCTCAGCCGAGCCACCCAGAGTCGGATGCAAGAGGGCGGCAAGCCAGGTGATCGTGGCTTTGCAGCCCCCGGGCTCTGTAGGCGTGTTGCCAGCAGGCCAAGGATCAGCGGCTCAAGTGTCCTCGATCCAGGACGCCGAGAACACAGAGAAGAAGAAGTGGGGTAGGCGTTTGTCACAGATCTGTGACAGGGCCGGCAGTGCAGCAGGGATCAACGACCCCGCTCAGTGCATCGGCCTTGCCCCCGCTGAAGCCGCTCGGCTCCGGGCGCTGGCGTTCGAGGCTGGGGGCTTCAGGACGATCAGACAAAATGTCAGAAACTGGGAAAAGTTTGAGGAGTGGTCGGCCGGAAGAGGCCTCCGTGTTTACCCCCCAACGATCGTGGCCGTGATGTCGTATTCACAGCACCTCCGCGATCAGGGGTGTGGCCCAGCAGTGCTGCCATCTTTCAAATACGCCGTGGGCTGGATCTGCAAGCGGTTGGCCATGTCTTGCCCAGAAATGGGCGACGCTCGCCTTAAGGCTCTGATTGACACAGTTCATGCAGAACGTGGCAAAGAGCTCAAGGAGGCCATTCCGCTACCACCGAAGCTCGTGATAGCGCTGGAGGTCATGCTGCCCAAGCTCATCTTCGAGAAGAAGAATGCAGCGGCGATCACAGTCTGGTGGGTTTTGATTTTGATCTACGCATCGCTGAGATTTGACGATGGGGTGCACGTGGCACCCTCCTCTCTCGAGATGACCCCAGAAGCTCTTCTTGGAGTGGTTTGGCAAACAAAGGTCGAAAGGAAGAGGAGGGGCACTAGATTTGCTGTGCCGACCTGTTCCATCTCTGGAGTAGAATGGCTCGCAATGGGATGGGATTTGTTCAAGCCGCACATCTCGGATCGAGACTATTTTGTATGGGAGCTCAAGTCCGAGAAGGAGTTCAACGAAGCTCCGGTGACCTATTCTCGCGGCCTCTCGTGGCTCAAGGCATTCATGCTGAGGGGAATCAGCGAAGCTCGCATTCTCAAGTTGGTGGAGGTCAATGAGATGGATGAACTCGAGAAGGCGGTCAGGGAGGTCACCTGGCACTCAATGCGTGTGACAATGCTCTCTGAGGCGGTGAAGGCTCAGGTGGACGACAAGATTGTGGGTCTACAGGCCAACTGGAAAGATCCCAGCCAGTTGGTTTTGAAGTACGCTCGCCAGCGCAAGGAGCTGTCGGTCGCCATGGTCAAGAACATGACAGAGAAGCTCAGGCAATCATGGGTGCCGGATCAGACCCAGTTTGTTGTGGAGGAAGAAGACGAAGAGGTAACGGAACCGATCGTGCCTGAGTTCATTGTTAAAAGTTCTTTGCCAGCTAGTGCTTTGAGTTCGTCGGATCTTAGATGCCACATTTTTGACCGTAGGGTCCACGAAGACACATCGGTCTGTGGTCGACTGAAGCTGCAGGATGCAGCTTCGGTCGGTACTCAAGCCCCTGGCATGATCTGCCAGCTGTGCAAGAACAAGGCGGGCATTTGATCGTATACTATGCCAATTGCCGTAAAAGCTGGCTCAGTGTTTGCACGAGTTCACGTCTCCTCTCTCCCTTTCATTTTCCTCCCCCTCAATTGATTTAATTTTGATTTATTTTATATCTGACAGATATACATTTTTCCAGTTTGGCGCAGGGTGATCCTGCCACATCAGCATTAGATCGGTCAGAGTGGTTTTTACTCCAAGTTGCCCAGATCTGCGGCTCAATCCAGTAGTTTCAGCACAGTGGCAACATGGTCGATCGGACCGTGTATGCGGATGAGGCTCACACTCCAAAGATTGCTCTGCGGCAAATTTTCGGCCGCCTCAGCCTGCGCACTGAATTGTGTCGGGCAGCTGCAGACAGTGGGCTCTTATCCGTGGAAGTTTTTGCCATGCTCGGCGACGCGGCGGCAGCTGTGAAGAACGCGCTCCGGACAGTGATTCCCACGGCAGCGCTCGGTGCCAATGCAGCCGAACAAGAGCTCGCCTTGATGCAGCTCGCAGCAGTGTGGCACTCGTGCCATGCGCTCCAAGGGCAGTTCGCCACTAGGCGGGCTCGCATGGAAGAAGACCCCAACAAGGTCCCGGAAATGGCCCAAGAGGATCATGCTGAGTTCAGAGCTCGTTTTGTCACCGCTCACCCTGATGTGATCCTCCTGGATGCCAAGGAGCCTCACAAGAAGTTCGTAGAGAAGGTCAGCCGTGACTTTTTGGTGCATGGCATGGTTCCCTACTACGAGGTCTCTGAGATCCGGACGAGGGCTGACAGCATCGTTCAGAAGACCGGGCTCACCAAGAATGCTGAAGATCTCCTCACGGTCTCAAAAGCAGATGAACCAGATCAAGTGACGGATGTGCAGACGCTGCTCCACCGCGTCCATGCTCTCTTTATGGCTATGGAGTACCTGAATATCTGCACGTACTCCAGGGCAGCGGGTCCGCTCAAGTACCTGCAGGAGCTGGAACAGTTCAAGGCGGACTGCCCCGGCCTGCCATATCTTGTGGCGGCCGATGCGTTGATCCGCAAAAAGGTCCACCGCCTCCAGTCAGAGCAGCGGGAGACCTACACCACGTTCGAGGCCGCTTTGGCCGAGGTGCTCAACAACCACAAATACCTGTGGAATGACGCTCGCACCAAGGCAGTTCTCGCCAAGGTGGACCGTGCTCGGACCGTCACCAAAGATGAGCAAGATCGAGTGCTGGAGAGCCCGGTCAAAACAGCGGCTCCCTCTAGCCGACGGCGCAAGAAGCGCCACAACAAGGAGGTCGCCAAAGCCACCTCCACCTCGGAGGTCAAACCAGTTCTGAAAGAGGCCTTCAACAAGAAGCAGGACAAGGGGGCCAAGCCGGACAAGGACAAGAGGATCCCTGACTCCGAGTGGAAGCTCATCTCCCAGGCGGCCAGTTCGGTCTCTGGACAGAAGCGCTGCCACTATTTCAATTCTTCCATGGGCTGCGCTCTGGCCGACAAGTGCCGGTTCAAGCACATGTGCATGGTTTGTGGTGCGTCCCACCCGATGGTGGGCAACCACTGAAAAGATGTGGCCAGCTCGGCCCTGGAAGATCAGGTGGAAACGAATGACGAGCTGCCGGCTCCGACAGTTTCCCAAGCAAGCTTTTGGGGCTCTATGCAAATCCCTTCGGGCTCATTTTTCCTGGAAATTTTTGCCGGCAAAGCGGGGCTCTCACAAGCAATCAGCGCTCGTGGCATACCCATTTTGCCGCCCATAGAGATCGAAGTGGGCGATTTTGTTCAGCAATCAGTCGACGTGCTCGACCCGGCAGTTCAAGCACACCTTCGACTGTTGATCGAAGCCAAAGTTATTTTCTACATTCATTTTGGCACGCCATGTTCAAGCTTCAGCATTGCTCGTAAGAACGATGGCGGCCCACCGCCACTGCGGGATCGACACCACCTGTGGGGGCTGCCTGGGCTCCGCCCTCAAGATCAACGGAAAGTCACCATGGGAACAGAGTTCATGTTCTTCACACAGCAGATGGCTACGCTGTGCCACAAGCTCGGCGTCCTGTGGTCGGTGGAAAACCCTGCCTCTTCTTTTATTTGGGTCATGCCACCAATTTTGGACCTTGCTCAGCTGCCCACCGTGCAGAAGATCACGTTGGACATGTGCCGGTTTGGCTCCGTGCACAAAAAGCCGACATCGATCATGGCAGCAATGGATCTGCACGAGCTCGCAAGATCATGCGATATGGTCGCTCGGCCTCATGAACATGAACCGTTGGTGGGCATGGTCACCATCAACGGCCAGAAGGTTTTCCGTACAAAGTTGGCACAGGTCTACCCCGCGGAGCTCTGTGATGCCTGGGCCGCTGTGGTCGCAGCAGTGCGATCTCACGATCCCCTGGCTGCCACTTTTGAGCTGGTCACGCCTGCCTCAGGTCGCAAGAGGCCGGTCGGCCAACCAGCTCCATGGAAGTCACACAAGCAGAGGGCATCGGCCGAAAAGGCCACAGCCGCTGGCTACCAGCTCAAGCGGTCAGCTCTCCCACCGCTGTTGAATGTGGAAATGGAGCCGGGTCAAGCAGTGGCAGCAGCTCTTTCAGTTGCTCACCCCTTCACCTTGGATCCGGCGCTTGACCCGGATCTGCAAGAAGCTCTGGCTATGGTCGTTCGCCAGCCACAGTTCGTCCTGGGCCACCGAGCGGGGGCGGTGCAGCGTTGGGAGCAGAGGGCCTACGCGCTCCTCCCGACAACTGATGCCGTTTTGCAACAAGTTCAAGATCCTTTTCTTCGTCGACTGCTCCGTGGGCAGCCAGACGATCAACCACTGCAGTTGGGCTCCTGCACTCATGTGGCATTGTGGGAGGAGCTCACTACGGCCGCATCTTGCGTGGATCGAGCTCTTTTGTTTGATTTGCTGCATGGTTTTTCTATTGTAGGCCCCATTCAGCGGTCTGGAAGATGGGGCCTTCTACAAGCTCCTGACGAACCTCTTTCAATGGGCGAGTTGCGCTCGCGGGCCTGGGAATTCTCGCAAAAGGTCATCAAGAATGTGATGCGCTGTGAGATCACTGAGCACACTGCCAAGGTCTGGGATGCAACAATGGAGGATGTGAAGGAAGGGTCTACGCTCGGCCCCTTTTTCTCTGAACAAGATGTTTCCAAGTTCCTTGGCACCAAAGAGTGGATCCCTACACAACGTTTTGAGGTCGTCCAGAAGAATAAGGTCAGGGGAGTGGATAGCGCTACGGTCAATGGCGTGAATGTTGCCACTACCATCACGGAGAAGCTCGAGCTCCCTTCAACCGATGTCAACGTAGCGGCTCTGCGATGGTTGCGATCTCACCTCCCGGAAAGGGCTGAAGTCCTAGGATGGGTGCTCGATGAGCGGAAAGCCTATCGCCAGATCGCGGTGAAGCCTGATCAGAGGAGGTGGAGCGTGATCACCATGAGGGAGCCGAAGGAGGGCAAGATCGCCTTTTTCGTAATGTTAGGTCACTCCTTTGGTTTGGTCTCTGCAGTTTACAACTACAACCGTAGGTCTGCTGCCATTACAGACATTCTTCGTAGGGTCTTCTTTGTGGCTGCCTTTAACTTCTATGACGACAAATACGGGTTCGAACCTGCCGCTACGTGCTCCTCTGCTTTTGATATTGCTCAGAAGGTTCATTGGTGGCTCGGAGCCCAGTTCGATCAGAAGAAGTTGCAGCTGTGCAAAGACCCCACGATCCTAGGGGTGACATACGATTTGGTCAGCATGGAGCTCAAGATCAAACAGTCCAGGAAGATCGAGCTCTTAGATGAGATCTCGTCCGTTTTGTCATCGCAGGTCTTTCCTCCTGGTCAAGCTGGCAAACTGAGAGGGAAGCTAATGTTTGGTTCTTCTCAGCTATGGGGGAAGATAGGACGGGCTTTTCTGCGCGCTTTGTCGGAAAGGCAATATACGAAGCTGAACCAATCTCATTTGAGCCAGGCGATCGTGCTTGCTCTCAAACAGTGGAAATGGCTCATTGAAGAAGGACCGCCTAGACCCATCTCTGTATCTAGGCCAAGGTCTTCTGATTTTGTTATCTTCACTGACGGAAGCTTTCCTGACGGCAAGCCAGGGTCGCCATCGAAGCCGTGGATCGGTGGCGTGCTTTTTGCAAAGGGCGAAGTTCCTATCCAGTTTGGTTGCGAAGTTCAACAGCAGCTCGTGGCCAAGTGGCTCCCACGAAAATCACAGATCGCCATGGTCGAGCTCTTTGCGACCGTTGTAGCTCTCAAGACCTTTGAAACTCGCATTGCAGGCTCATGGTCGCTGCTGCTGGTAGATTCCGAACCTGTTCAAGGCGCGTTGGTCAAAGGTTACTCATCCCGTGAAGATCTTTGTGAACTAGTAGGATTATTTTGGAATTTAGCTCTTGAACTAAAAATCAATTTGTATATTGATAGAGTTCCGACGGACGCCAATCCGGCCGATCCACCGTCACGCGATAACATGTCTGTTGGAACCAATCTAGGATGGATTACTGTAGATCCTATTTTTCCATCTCTCTGAGCAGCGTGGGTCAAATCGATTCAGCATTTGTTCTCAGGGGATTCAGCAGGGACTGATCCAGTCTCAGCTCCATTTTGCTTTTGTGATCTGAAGTTAATGCTGACAGATCAGTCAGTTCACAGATCGTTATGATTTCGATAGGATCCCCTCTTGCTACCCACGTCTCTCAAGAGGGAAAACAGTCTGCTGCAGGTGAGTGGTGAGGGCATGTGATCACATGCACGTTCACGAGAACACAAATTGGTTCACATATCTTCGGTCTGGTTTGGTTGGGATATGTGGGTCAATTTCAGTTCTCTGCCACCATCAGCTGCTCTGTCGATCGCATCACTTCATGCATGGTGTTCACCATGATTGATCAATTGGATGTTGTTCTTATTGAATTTTTATTTATTATTTGATCAGCAGTGGATGCCAAATGGAAGATCTCTCGATCTTGCCATTTTGGCTCAAGATCTATTTCCTGAGTTCGAAAAGCTCCCATCCCACCCACCCTGGTTTTTCCGGGGCGGGTCCATCGACCCTGTTTTCAGCTGCGCCTTCTGCTCGCGACGATTTTCACAATAGTTCTGCGAGTGCATGAAGTCGGATTGATCGATTTTCTTCCGTTTGCGCCTACTGCTCTTGGCGATTCACCAAGACGGGTTCGATGAGTGGGTCAAATCGATTCAGCATTTGTTCTCAGGGGATTCAGCAGGGACTGATCCAGTCTCAGCTCCATTTTGCTTTTGTGATCTGAAGTTAATGCTGACAGATCAGTCAGTTCACAGATCGTTATGATTTCGATAGGATCCCCTCTTGCTACCCACGTCTCTCAAGAGGGAAAACAGTCTGCTGCAGGTGAGTGGTGAGGGCATGTGATCACATGCACGTTCACGAGAACACAAATTGATACATACATACATACATACATACATACGTGTCTATATATATATATATACGCTCACCCCCCCTCCGACGACCCCGCTTACAACATCATCTGACTATATTGCCCACATCATCCACATTTGTATCTCAGCTTTTCATACCTGTCATACTGAGAATTTTCCATTCTGCATATCTACTTACCGAATGTATTATAACATTTTTTCATTTGGAGAGTTTTTTTGATAACTAGAGGCAACAGAGTAAGAATAACATCTTGATCAGCCTTTTCTTACTATATTCAGAATATACTTTCATTGTAGCTTCAATATACCTTTAATATGCAATTTTACTGACCTTGAAAGTGTCTTTAATAAACCTTCTAGGTGCCTTTACTATACCTTGAATATACCTTTGAACAGCTGTTTATACATCTCTAATATACCTTTAGTACACCGTTTAATATACCTCCAGCATACCATTCAATATACGAGGAAGCTACCTCCAATATACCATATAGTTGACCTTGAACATGCCTAAATATACCTTTAGTATACCTTAAATACACCTTCAATACATATATCTTGAATATACCATGTAATATACCTTCAGTAGACCGTTTCATAACACATGAGTATACCGTATACCCTTACTATACTTGAATATAACTATGTTATTCCTTTAATCTATCTGTAATATACCTGTATTATTCCACTTAATATTGACCATGAACTTATCTTTAATATGAACTTATCTTTAATATACCTGTAAAATACCTTTGAAACACCATCTAATACACCTTCATTATACCTTTGACATACAGGTTTAGAAAACACAACCGAGGTGTAGCACATTCGCCAATCCACAGGTCCTAGGGACTCCAAATTTGAATAACAAAAAACAAGAACACCAACAAAAATAATTTTCCAGAGGTCTTGGGGACCTTAAATTTGGAAAAAACACCTTGAGAAAAAACACACAATATTTTGAGACTCTTTAAGGAGGGCCCAGCAAAAAACCTTGGAAAAAAACAAGAACAACAATATTTAGACTCTTTGGGGAGGGCCCCATGGAGAAAACAAAAGAACATCAAAAAAACCTCAAGGAAACCAACCATGTAAAAAACATATTTTGAGATTCTTTGGGGAGGTCCCCATGGAGAAAACAAGAAGCACCAAAAGAACGTCGAAAAAAAACAAAAAAACAAAAGCAACCAAAACATCCAATATTTTGAGAATTTTTTTGTCATGGCCCACCCCATGACATGACCGAGTGAATGAACGGGATATTGTTTCAGATGTTAGCATGAAAGGGATATTGTTCCAGATGACTCAATGAAAGGGATATTGTCTTATATCGACTGAATGAAAAGGTTGAAGCAGACGATGGGGTCATGGGGGGGCTGACCATGTATATGTATATATATATAGATATGTATGTATGTATACATAGTATATACACAGATATAGGAGACCTTTTGTCTTCCATGACTTACAAGGGGTTCCCCGTCGGTTTTCTCTTCGTTTCCGAAGTAACACCAACAGGTCGCCAACCAACCTAGTTTCTCACCACTCCAGTCATTGCCAGTCTTCAGCAAGGTGAGATCATCAAGGTGAAGGCACACTACAATTGGTCTATGTACCAAGCCTTGCTGAATGCCACTAAGAGCTCTCTGAAGGCAGGGGCTGAGGATGGGGGATGAGGGACTTGACTGTGATCACTATTTGAATCGGATTTTACTTCTTTGATCTGACAGGTTTTTTTTGGGGATTGCGAAGCAGCTACCAAACTTCAAAAGTCGACCAAAATCAGCTTGCAAAGTGCTCTCCAACAGGCCATGAAGTTGCGCCTCTCCTCCAACTACCGGGAGGGCAAGCCGCCACCTCCAGCCTTCTTCGAGGTGGATCAATGATGTGGACATAGCGATATGGCCCATTTAGTCCGATGACTTTAGCAACTTTAGCCCTTAAGAATGGTGATTTTCCGCAACTATGTTGAATTACTAGAGGGTAGTTATGTGAACACATGGGTTTTGTCTGAAAATTGTGGGAACAACCCATTCCATCCGCTGGTTAATCATCATTGTCCTTTTTGACATGGCCAGAAGTGATGGTCTGCAATTTCAGACAGACTCATACATGCTTGATGTGGTACACTGGTACACCCCAAAATAACCATCCTCAATAGTTTTTTAGACGGGTGGGATTTCAATAACCATCTAAAATTAGAGGTTTATGGCATTGGGATTACTGCACTACACAATTTCATACATCCACGCCACGCCCATTCCATTTGGATCAGTATTACTATACCTATCAAAATGGCAGTTGTGGTCAACTACACCATTTTCACACCCAAATTGGAGTTGTGTAATCTCATGATATCCCAATTCATACTCCATTAACCAACATTGAACCACACCCATTTGTGCAAAAAAGGTGGACCTCCAACTGAATGGCGATGAAGTGGTGTTGAACCCTTCGGTGACCGACATCCAGGCGCATCATCAGAAATACGTAACTTGGAGGGTTGTTAGACTGTTAGACAATGATCACCTTGGAAATCCACCAGCGAATCATTTATTTCAATAGTTTGTATAGTTTGGCTGGAGTATTCCCAAGATGTAACTTGGACTCGGATTCATGCTGTTTGAGTCTGTTGACTCAAACATTCAGAATTTCTGGAGGCTGCGATCAACGGCGGTGCAGTGGCTGTTCTGAAGTGTTCCAAGATGATTGAGGCTTGGGATACAGTCTCTTGGATGCAATGGTGGGGATCCATCGGCATGTTCCTCCCATGATGAATGCATGCACTTGGCAGATGCAGTGAGTCAGTTCATCGACTGTCTTCGGGTTGCTCTCGGAAAATGATGCTCCGAGGTGGGCAACTTTTCATAAAGACTCAAGACATCTCAAGACCAAGTGTTGCCAACCTTGGGGTAAAGTTGAGAGATGTTGAGAGTGGTGTTGCTGATTTTGCCATGGTTTTTGCTCTTTATCATTCTTTATCCAGCCTGAGAGCCTACTGAGGTCACGATCCCCAAGAACGTGCAGCTTATTCTGGATGCCAACCTTCCTCCGGTGCAGGGAACGGGCTCCCAAGGCCGGAGATGGGTCGTGGCACTCTTGGTGCCATTGGTTGGAGAAGATTTCTAGACCCAGTTGACTACCAGCTATTGATGGTGTTATGTTAGTATACATATATATATATATATTATATGACATTATATATGTATATATGTATATACTGTATATAGTATGTATATGGTTGAAGATAACATGGTACAATATGCAGAGAACATCTCAAAGTGAAGTGAGCCATAGCTGGGCCATAGCCATCATGAACACCTCCACAGCTCCACCTGAAACGACGCTGGCAGGTACTTTCTATGACCGAATCGCACAAGATCGTGAGATCCTAAAGGCCTGATCAGGAGTGCACCCACATTATGGGTATACACATGATGTGTATATATATATAAATTACAATGTAGTATGATGTAATATAATATAATGTAATATAATGTAATATAATGTAATATAAGATAATACAATACAATACAATACTCACATATTCATATGATATTCGTTCAATAAACCTTTCAAGGTCAACATGCAGCGGTTCGGAGTCCAGCCGACCTCCACCAGGTGGTACTGCTACTGACGGGTAGCATCCAATCGGCCAAGAACATGTGTAACGGCTACTTGACCACCTTCAAAGAATATGAGTGGACCTGGAAGGAAAACATCGAAAAGATGCTTGGTGAAAAACCAAAATTTGGGCAGAAAAAACCCTGGTTGGAACAGGGGAAGATCTGCATTTCCCGAAGTGTGGCTGTAGATGAGGTCTTTTGTTCAGTTGTATCTTCTCTCGTCTGGTTGGTAGTTCTAGATGTTTCAATTTCACTCCCCCGAAATAGGCCGATGACTTCGGTTGACTTTTCTGTTTGTTGGCCCGGGTACCTTTACGTTCAGTTTAGCCCTCCTTTGTGATATTTTCTTCTCAATATTTTTCCAGGTTGTTTGGCTCAGCAATTCGTCATGGCATCCTCAGGAAGTATCAAGAATTCAAGAGCACAGATCCCAGTTTGGACGAGACCGAGTTGCTTGCCAGCACTCATTTCCAGGAATGGTGCCAGGGTAGCTGTTATGGGTCGAAGATGAGCTACCAATGGACTCATAGTTTTGGTCATGTTTAGTGCCAAACTATGCATTTTTTTGGCGAAGAATTTGGATTCCCAGTCATACACAATTGTCGAAGGGAAGGATTGTGAACAAAAGCACGAGAGCCTTTTTTCATCCATGAGCATATGCACAACTTTGACTTAAGGGAAATTACTTGCTACAGGGTGATTCTCCCCAAGTCAGTCATTCGTTGATTTTAGGTCCAAGTTGAAGGAATTTGTCGCCATGGAGAGCAAGGTGGAGCAGTTGACAGGTCAACACCAGACCTTTGGCAACGACCAGGGGAAGCCAATCTATACATGTGCACGTATATATATATATATATGTATGTAAATTTTTATTTAATATTTACATATTTACCATCGTTGAATTATTCATTGGTTGGTGAACTATGATCATTTATGCAGATCCATCGACCTATCCGGTTGCAGGAAAAATACAGGGCAAATCCAGCAAGTTGGAGGGTCTAAGATTGACTTCTGCAAGTCCATCTTTCTAGGAACTAGTAGTTATGCTGAGAACAGCATATCATTTTTTTCCAAGCCCGTGCTGAATCACCATTGGTGAGTTTGACAAGAAGGCAGACACTGCCGTGCAGCATGCAAGCGTCGACGCTCCAATAGCAGTGAATGAGAGAGGGGCCCCTTTCCTTGTATCCCAAGCATTCCCGGACTTTGTTCCGGCATGCTTGTGGCCTTAGTCATGTGTTAGCAATCCTGTTGCATGCTTGTGGCTTTAGTCATGTGTTAGCAATCCTGTTAAATTAGCAACCTTTCCCGATCTGGCTTGTGGTTTCAATAATTGGTCTATATGTCACATTTCGTTCTCAAAAAGAGATGACGTCATGACGTCCATGATGACGATGACGATGATGATGACGATGACGACGACGACGATGATGATGATCCCAGCCGACCTATTTTTCGGGTCACAGGTGGCTGAACCGTCCTTGCTCAGCACCCCAACACTGAGGATCTCTGCCTTGATGTTGAAGACGGGGAGCTTGGCTCAAGACCTCAAGGGTTTGGCGGAGAAGTGGAAGTCCTGCTTTGCCAAGGTGTGGCAGTGGCAGAACGGTAGATCTGCGGGAAACACGCCTCACCATTTTGATGGCTATGGAACTGAAGTCTTAAATGAGATATCTTTGTCAAAATTCTTGGATCAAGCGCCGATATGGATTGCTCCACGCACCATTTAAACATCATACATGTTTATTAAACATCATTAAACTAAACATTATAAATGATATATAAGCATCGTTAAACGTGATTAGAGACAATCAACCATCTTCAAAGACCATCAAACGTTAACAAACAAGAGTCGTTCCTGAGAGCTAAGACCGTGCCTGCATGGTGGGTCCAGGAGTTGCACAAAGAAGCCTTCAACAAATTGGAAGCCGTCAGTGAGATGGCCCCTAAGCCTCAGAAGATAGGCTGATGAGGTTTATTTTTCAGAGAAATTTGTTTCATTTATGGGAATTCATGCAACAAAATGGGATATGGGGAGATTCATCAGATAGATTTCAGACCTAGGGTATCACTGATGGAATGGCTCTCTCTAGCAGAACCATCCAATTTTGACTTTGAGACATATAGTGGAAAAGCTTGGGATTGCAAAGCCAAGGGCATACAATACAAGACTTGCAAGATTTTGCACAGCACCGCTTTAGTTTTATGATGGATGCACGTCTCCTTTTCTGGAGGCTTCATCGTTGGAACATGAAAGAGGTACCCTCCAGCAACGTACCAAGCTGCCATGACTCGATCTGAGGTCAAATCCACTCGGAAGAAGCTTTTGCGAGAGGTGTGCGCCACGATTTGTGATACACTTAATCTTCTGTATCCATTACACACACATATATATATGTATATATGTATGTATGTAATATATATATGTACATATATATATACACGTATACGTATATGTAGTTGTATGTATTATATTTTATATTTTTTTTATACATATGTTTATGGGACCCTATCGGTATGTCTGAAAGAACATATAGAATCATGGGGTGGTTCGATGTTGAAGTGATCAATTTTGGTGGGTTCATTGGCACACCATTTTTGATGACTCCTCCTTCAAATTCTGCAAACACATTCGAAATAAATGCACTGTTCTCCATTTCTGTCCGTAACATCAACCAAAAAACTGCACAAATCTCAACCACATTGCTAACAAATGCACATTTTGCACCACAAATTTTCATTTTCTCAACCATTCCCAACAAACGAGTCCCAAATCTCCCAGGTGGGTTCCGGCGACATCGACGCGCTGGCCTACGTGATGCAAACCTTGCAGGCGAGTTGCAAAGCCAATGTTTGGGTACAGTCAGCTAGTGTAACGTATATATATATATATGTATGTATATATACATATTATATAGTCATATATATATATACATACATGTATTGATGGATGGATGGATGGATGGATGGATGGATGGATGGATAGATTCGTAGATAGACAGATAAATAGGATAGGATGAGATGAGATGAGATCAGGTAAGATAAGATCAGATAAGATAAAGAACAGGAAAGGAAAGGAGCGCAAAGGAAAGAACAGAAAAGACCAATAAGATTGATAGCTAGCTAGCTAGATACATAGATAGATGGATAGATAAGATTGACGCACACCCAGATGACTCTGATTTCCCTGGCAGGAAGTTTATGCAAAGCAAAGTGAGATCGAGCTGGATTTCATCCCCATTGAACACATGTACCGCATCCTGGATGAGCACTTGCCCAACATCATGGACAAGGAGCGTTTTTCGGGAAGTGGTTTGTTGAGCAGTGGCTGCAAAAGCCCTCTCGGTTGGTGATTGTAGGAATTACTGTACAGAGTTCATTTCTCCAATATATTGGGCATTGTCATCATCCATGAACCGGAAATCCTTATTTACCAGCCGTTATACACAGGGTTTTGAACACTGCTCACTGGGAGATTTAAAGTATCACCTTTCAATGGTTGGGTGATGTTCAATTTGAGGAGCCGGATAATTTGAGAAAAATCGCCTGAGAGAAATGTTCAATTTGAACTGCTGCAATATAGATTTGTCAGCTAACCTTTCAGGCTTGAACTTCCGAGGGAAATGGAGCAATCCGAAAGCCTGCCACATTGCTTAATTTTTTGCAAGTTCCCAAAATCATCTGTCTTCAAAATGTCAACCAAACTGCCGGCGAAGAGTTCCACCATGTTCCGCGATCCAGGAAGAACAAGATACTCGATCCATGCTCAAGAAGAACTGGAAGGACCGGCAAAGGTGTGTTCGCCTCGCAGCAAACCAAGATGGAGGTCGCTAACTTTCTCCCAGTTGGGGGTCTCAAAACCGGATCAGTACCATGGTCTTCACATCAAAATAAGGGGTCTATATTGACAATATCTTCCTTCCCCCATGGTATCATTGGAATGGACGAACCCCCCCATGGTGGTGGTGGGCGGTGCTCTCAACGAGGACCTGTTAGAAGAGAGCGAAGCCCGTCAGCATGAGCTCTCTCACAAGCAGTGCCCTGGAGAAAGATCGCAGCCGGCACAGCATTTGCTGTGCCCTGGGTTTGTCTGAAAATCTAGGGGAACAGCCTCAAATTTCCAGTGGTTTTCAATAATGTTTGGTAATGGCCATGAATGAGGCTATACTACCGTAGTAGTAACAATTATTAACACTGGTACATCCCCATTTTCAGACACAGCCATACGTACTTGGTTGTGCTTGTGATTCGATGGCCACGTCCAAGCCCTTTGTGAGGATCCAATACAAAAAGGACCTCATCAAAACCGTGAATTCCTTCAAGAAGGACTGGATGAGTGGAGAATTCCAAGAGACTGCTATCTACTGTACGAATGGTGACCTATGAGATAACCTGCTTTTCATCACTTCTGAAAATAAAGTTTGAACGCCAGGGGAACACCAAATTTTGATTAAATGGCTCTGAAAATAAGGTACCCCATTCCATCCATATTCCATCCAGGTGAATCACCATTTTCCCTAGTAAAAATTGTAATTCTTGGGCTCAATCTCCTACTATTTCTGGCGCATCCTGCGCAGGATGTGACGCGCTTCCGCGCAGAGTACGAGCGCAGTGGGCCGATGGTGAAGGGCATCCCTCCACGTGAAGCCGTGGAACGCCTGAAGCGTAGCATGGCCCACGGCTGCGGCTTTTTTGCCAGGTTATGGCTGAAACAATGGGGGAGTTGATCAACAAAAATAGGGAGAAACATCCATTCTCTGGCATATAATCATGCATATATATATATATATATGTATACATATATATATATAATATGGTTGTCTTAAATCAATGGGCTGAACAAATGGCTTACCAAATGGGATTTCCAAGACTCAAGCGTCAAGTTTCCGTGATTTCCATGTTCTTTTTGTCGAACAAGTGCAGAAAATCATTGAACACAATGCTGATAAGCTCGAAGTTTTGGAGGGCCTAGCAAAAGAGTTTCGACAATAACTCAGGATTCAAGGAGGAGTTCGAGGTCAGAGATCGAAAGCAGGCTGGCCAGAAAGCTCTTGCAGCGAAACACAGCGTTTTGTGGCGCTTTCTGAAAGGCCAAGTTGCCAGATGCTTCTTTCTTCCTGAGTTTGAGCCAGGAAATCTACTACATTGGTGAAGACTTGTTCGGTGTCCCCCATCAGCGGTACCCAGCCTTGGACACCACCAGACAAGAACTGGGATACCTGTCGCAACTCTACGACCCTTGGCTTGGCATTGGGGCCAGGTCTGTCGCCCTTGGAACACTAGAGAAAATTCAGCTGAGCAGCTGCTAAACCTCAGAATTGTAGGTTGATCGTAGCTTCGCAACCAGATTGGGGATGATCAGAATCTCAGGACCTCTATGTAGCGGTTTTGGAGACCATCAAGGACTGCTGATTGCGACCTGGGGTTCTGCAGCCCACTGCGAAACAAGGATCTAAGGCACAGACTCGAGCCAGATATTCATTATATATATATATCATTATATATATATAATTATATCAATTATATCCGTCAGATGTCAGAAGTTGCCAATGAGGTTCCACAGAGCAAATTGGGCATGCATCTGATACAAGGTTGGTACTTTAGTTTTGGCACACGCACAGGACAGTGGACAGTTCACAAGGTGTGTCCCAGAAGTTTTCTGCAAGATAGCCAAGTGCAACCAATCAGATGCATGTAGGCAATTAGAAAACAGTAAAACAATGGGAGAGTAGCAATGTTGCATCACCCACCATCAATAAAGCTGGCATGTCAAGCGGGGCCCCACAAGTAGTGATGCACCCTTTCAATTTACACTACAAACTATTGCGCAGGAGTGGAGGGACTATCTATGGTGTGATGTCGGTGAGAACATGGAGACGATGCAGAAGATGCATCCTGACTGCACTGCCGCGGATGGTTGTTTGAACTTCTGACAAAGTGCTACGGGCGCTTTCATTGAAAGCTATAGCGACCACGGCTTTATGCTCCATTTTATGAATGCCTCAACCAGATCACTAGCCCAGATGAAAACCAGAGCGATGCCCCTATATGACATCTGAATAAAGTTTTACAAGTGATATACCCAGGCCTGCCATTCTCAAACATCTCCTCAGAATTTCCAGGACGGCATTTGAACAACCCTCCAAGGATTGATAGTTTCGCTGCTCGATGCAAGAAGATGCCCAAGCAGCTGCGAGAGTGGCCAGCCTACAACGAGCTGAAGAAGGAGATTGAGGACTGACATGGTTGACATGTACAGCAGCTGCCGACGTGCCTTTTCATTTATCAAAGGTTGACATAAGCAAAACAAATTGCGATTTGTCCGTCTTTTAAGAGGCTTAGTTTTCTCTTTTCTATGTACGTGGGGATGCACATATCCGTAGAATAGAGTAGCAGCTGGCTTTTGGCTCCCCTTAGATACCAAACAGAAAGATGTTCTTCGAAATATTTAGGAATTCAGAAACACATGTCCCTCTACCAAAAGCCAATATGTTTTTTTCAATTTGAAAACCAAAATTCTTGGAGTCAAAAACATCATGGACCAAATGAGATCTGCCATCATGATCTTCATTTCTGTCAGGATTTCCAAGCCGTGCTGCCACTGTTGCTGGAGCTCGGCAAGTTGGGATACTCAGCCAGGGAAGACCTGGTGGATTGGGAAGGCTTCCAGGGTCAAAATCTTCCCCAAACAAAGCGATTTCTGTGGGAAAAATGGCCTCCTGTGTTTGGATCTTTGACATGATCCTCCTCATCGATAGCTTGCTGCTATATACGTGTCACCAGGCTTCACGTCGTACACATTGTGCATTTCACGTATGAACCTGCACGGCAGTTCAGGGAGACATGCCAAACAGCACCTGGACGTTGTATCCTTTTCCCCACGGAAGGCCATGAAAGATCATGGAACACAAGCACGGTTTCCTGGTTCCATCGATCTTAATCTCGTGGTTCATATGGCATTGGGTCACGTGAAAATTGCTGGCAAATTGCTATTCAGTCCCGCGAAATTATGGCAAAATCATAGGTTTTAACAATATCCCTTTATACCGTCCTGTTATCAAACATGGCTGACTGGAAAATCCGTCATTTACAGTAGTTCCATAGATTTCCTATTGAAACCTCCATATTTAGTTCGGGGTATTTCCCAGCGGCCTGCCATGTTACCAGAGGGTATGTGCTATATACCCCCATTAAATCCCATTAAGTACTATTTAGATCCCATTCACGCTTGATTTAACAATGTTGTATACAGGCATCAATCCCATTAGATGCCATTTACACCCCCATTAGATCCCATTAGATCCCAATTAAGTACCATTAGATCCGATTTAAGTACCTTTACCGTATATATTTCCTATTAAATCCCATCAAATCCCATCGATTCCTCTTGAATTCCATTAAATCCCATCAAATCCCATCGATTCCTCTTGAATTCCATTAAATCCCATCAAACCCCATCGATTCCTCTTGAATTCCATTAAATCCCATCAAATCCCATCGATTCCTCTTGAATTCCATTAAATCCCATTCAATTCCCATTAAGTCCCAGGTTTTTTCACCCTACCCCAGGTTGCGCTTCTCAAGCACGTCCCACCTAGGCCCAGCATCATGCCGCGACACTGGCAGCAGGTCATGGATATCACAGGCAGGGTATCTGTGGGTTATATCTGCATTTTGTAAAACGGCAATATAGAAATATGATTTATATGTATAATTTATATGTATAATTATACACATATATAATATATGTATACATTATACATATGTATATATATATATATAAATAAAAAATGCTAGCCCCCACAAGATCATCTCAGGGGAGGTTAGCATATCTATGTACTATCTATTAGACATGGAAGATCACCAACTCTTGGGGGGATGTTGCTTTGAGGCCCTATCAGCTCCTGATCGCTGGGGAAATGCTCAAGTCTTGTTGGTAAAAATGGTTGGGATATTCTTTTTACTGGCAAAATGACGTGATTTCAGCATCAAGGTTAGATTTTCTCGAGGTTTGCTGGTGAAATCCCCACTCATTGGTCCTGGTTGATTACATCTTTTTTCAGGCAAAGATTTGCCCATTGACTCTGAGAATTTCAAGCTGCAGTCCCTGATCGACGCGCAGTTGAATGCCACTTGGAACTGCGTCAAGGAATGCCTGAAGTATGGAGCGCTACAATGTAGTAACGGACCACCAGATTTTCGCATTTGTTTAAATACAAAGCATAACCTAACCAAGCCATCCGTTTTTATGGGGTTCTATGATTTTGAACTGAAGACCAAGAGAAGATGAAATGGCTGGCCTGTTTGTTTCTGAAGAACATATTTGGAGGTACAACGATTTTGAGCAGCGGCCAAATGCGTAACTTGCTTGATAGACAAGGCAGAGACAGGAAAAACAGGTATCTGAAGGCGCCATCTGTTGATTCGCATCGGTGTGTGCAAGTGCATTGGCTAAGGAATTCACCGATGAGATCTCCGACATCTGCGAGGGAGCAGACAAACAGTTGGCTTGGAGCCCCAGATCGGTTGGAAACCGTGACGTTTTGCTTCGGTTGGCGCTGTTGAGGCTGTTGAGGCTGCTGACATCTTTTTCTTGCCAGCTTCACTGCTCCTGGATTCTCCGCCTTCAGGTGATTGAGAGCAAGCTGAAGGAGATCTCGGGACAGTGGGCCCAGTCCTCAGTTGCCATCAGCTCCAGTGTTTCATGATTCTTCGAAGGTTTCTTCCCCATGTTCAATGTGGTAAACCCTGCCACCCCTGAAAAAAATCCATGAGTAAAAGTATCTTGGGCTGAAATTCCTGATTTTTGGACAATCCTCTTTGCCATGAAAAGGTGATATTCCTAGTGGTGCGAGTTAATAGATTTCTCCAGTATATTCACCTTTTTACCCTATGGATCCCTATGGCCCTATAGTTGTCTAACATAGCTACGGAACAGTCACCGTTTTGGCCGTCAGGAAGGCATGATGTTCGACTTTGGCACCTGGAAGCAGCGCGACATTCCCTGCGTCTTAACAGGAGCCAAGGTGGCGGAGACTCAGGAGGCCTTGGAGGAGACGATGATGAATCTCAACACCATGAACGTCAGGCACTCAGAACGGGACAAGGGGAGAAGTTCCCCCCAAAAAAACAGGAACAGATATGAAATTCCATAAAAGATTATCGAAAGACACGAGAATATTGATTTGAGATTAATTGAGATCATCAAAATGGTTTTGGATGCAGAATGTCAGGTAGTTAGAATCCGAAGAGAAACAAGAATCACGGGTTGCTACAATCCTTAAACCAAGCCAGCGAAATATGCCTGTTGACCATAATCTCATTTCTCATGTGAGGCTGGTGAAATGTTACATCATACTAATTGGAAATCAGTTGGTGACATCTTTGGTCCTTTTGCCGAGGCCCAACGGCACTCGATCCCCTTCAAAGAAGAGCTGAATGGCCTGCTTTCGACGCTGTCGGACACGGGCGACACCATCGAGCGCTGGTTCAAGGCGTCGGGCTGTCGGGCTGTCGGGCTGTCGGGCTTTGGCTTCAAGCCTGATGGGGTTTTCGGGGAACAACTCGGAACAAGCCCTAGTTTGATGATGTTTGATGGACATTCAGATTTCGGCAGAATGACTTCTCGGGATCCAAGGTGCAGCAGATGTGGACTTCCTTGGAGTCGGTCTTCACCGGAGGTGATATCGCCAAAGCCATGCCCATGGAGGCTGGGATGATCCCACCGGTGAGGTATTGATACGTAAGGTTTACGACCAGATTTATAGGATTTTAATGGATTTTATAGGCACCTTACTAAGGTTACTAAATCTATCCAGTATGAACCAGCCAAGAGTCTGTGCTGGTTGAGTTGATTTGTTTCTTTGAGATTTGAACGGATTTGCGGATCTCAGACCTTGGTTCGAGTCATGGCTTGTGGCCATGCCACTACACTAGCTTCATTCTTTGCTTCATTTGGGCTACTCACGCTTGATTTCACGCTTGATTCGATTCTCCCCACTTCCAGTGATTCCAGTGTCGGAATGTCTTACTGCAGCCTGGGAAATGCGGTTTGCTTCCAGTTTTCTGGAGAAATTGTCGAGTTTTTTAGTGCACAAGTGTTGATTCAACAGATCCTAGAATTGGATGGCGGGACATTTTTTTGGACACCCCTATATTCGGCGGCAAAAACCATGGCTTCCAGTTTCCAGGCTGTCCCACCAACACCCATCCATTGAACAGGCAAAGAAGTTCCAACAGATCGACAAGGATTGGGTCAAGATCATGCAGCCACTTGGCCATCAAAGTGCTCTGCAGAGTGTGCTGGTTGATGATCATAGGGTGGTATACTTCCCGATATATATATATATATGTATATATATATATATATTTATAATATAAAATACAATATACATATGGGAGATTTTGCATATCAAAATCCATTTGATGCCATGAACCAACCATTGAACCAAGAATTATTTGTGGGATTTTGCAGTCGGTATTTGAAACTGCTCATGTTATTTATTGGCGACTTGAATTGGCTCAAGTTTATTCTATTTGTGAAAGTCTGAGCACGGCGTTTCTAGGCAGATAGAGATCATGTCTGATGTTCATGAAGCCGTGCAACACGACCGAGAGACTCACGAGGGTCTCGAGGATCTGGTGCTTTCAGCTCGTGAGATTAAGAAGGTTCTCAAATTCACCGCTTATGCAGACATACTCTACTTGCTGGCACCGAGATGACACTTGCACCCTCTTACATGTCACTTTTGACCATACCAAGTTGAACGCCACTGATGTGTGCCGGATTTTCAAGAAATATTCGAAAGAAAACATGAGCGACTTTTTCTCGGAGGCCGCATGCGGCCGCTGGCAAGACCAGTGCCACAAGCACGTTCTTGTGCGCAGAAAGACCCCAATTCCGCATCAGATTCCTCGAGTAGTTGGTTTGAGCTCAATGCAAGAAGCACTTGGTGTCCATATCTTCCAGGGCCTAGCCCAATCTTGACAGTCCGAGAGATCTACCGGGAAATCTTTCGGCTGTTCGCCGCCGATTTCTTCATGTGCATTGATGTTAGCCACTTGTTTGCTGGAGAGCCATGCATGCTTCGCATTTCCTACTACTGGAATCGAGATTTTGATGAACAACGGAATGAGATTATTGCGTTGAAGAAGTCAAGAGATCTGGCGATCTGCAGCTTGCGCAATCACCTCCAGAAACAAAACCTTTGGGCAAGCCACTTGCCTCAGGTGTGTTCTGATTTCCTCATCCTCTATGGCAGCGGTATGGAAAACACCTACCCTCTGGAGACAGCAGAGGTCACCAGCATTAGTGCTGTGGCATTCTCGCTGAGTGCCGATCAAAGTGGACGCTTCTTCACCATCACAGCTGCACCAGGAGAGTCCATGGTGACACCGTCGCAGCATCATCGCTTCCAAGATAAACAGATCTTCCAATTGGAGCCGTCCCAACTTCATGTCCGACCAGCTCCTGAACCGAGCGCAGGTGTTCCAGGTATTCCAGGTGTTCCAGGCGTTCCACTTGCCGAAATCGGAGCCACAGCAAATGCTAGACTCTAGAATGAGTCTCATATCTCCAGTGCTGCAGTTTTTGCAAGCTCTTCGACAGAGCGCTTTGCATCTTGTATATCATCGAATGCCCTTGAAGCTTTTGCATGACACGTTTGATTGGCTGAGCCGCCACGTAGATGTTCTTAGCGAATGACGTTCATGGATGAGTCATCGAAGTCTTAATCAGATTTTATTTCGGCGTTGCATGTCCCATGTCCCCCAAAGAAGTGACTGGGCACTGGGTGACTCATTCTGCCGTTCTGCCGAGAAAAGTTTTCGCGTACTCGTAACATGGAAGTATGATACCAATGGCAGCCAGATCCAGTGAAATGATGATCAGCCTGAGGAAGTCTGCTGACACCAAGTACGTGGTTCCTTGCTGTCAGTCTCTTGCTTGCATTCGGTATGTGACAAAACCTCGAGCACCTCAAACTGGCTGGTAAATGGATGTTCTGCCCATTTCGATGTTCTTCCAAGTATTAACTGAATATTGGGAGATGGTCATCACTCTATTCATAGCGGTTTAACATACCAGTTATGATGAATCCCATTCATGATGGTGGGATGACCCATATACCGTATATTAACATATATTAACCATGAAACGTGACCATGGCACGTAGAAGTTCCAGTCAATATCCACATTTTTTTTTTCGATGGTGCCAAGCTCTGCGCAGGAACGACATGCTGAAGCAGATGCTGCCCATTCTTGCTGAGGGCCTGGAGAAGTGCCAAAAGTCCTTGGAAAGCTACCTGGAAGGCAAGCGAAACAAGTTCCCGCCACCTGGTTGTTACTTGAGCTGACCTGAACATGGGGGATCTACCACCAAGTCATGGCAATTTCATTGAGAAAATATGGGACAATTATGATTTATTTGGACTTTGCGTGCCATATTATTTCAGGGCAAATCCGCTTGAGATGGGTTAAAGATGGTTAAACGATGATTACCCTGAGAGTAGGGTCAGCAAGGATCTTTTTTTTGGGGGGGACTTGGGCTGTCTCTGTTTTTTGTGCTTTCGATTTCTGGAACAGGGTGGGGAATTGAAGTCAGCCTCTGCTTTGAATCTTGGTTTGACAATTTGAGATTAGGATGCGATATGCAGCATCAGCTCCCGAACCCAGTTCTCCATGTTTGCAAACAAAATCCAAAACACATGTTTGGGCTTTGGAGAGCGCGATGTTGAATGACTGTGTGTGTGTGTTCTTTGTTTCTTTCTTTCTTTCTATCTGTCTATCTATCTATACGTGTATATATATAATATATATATATATACACATGTTTTTTTCTTAATGAGAAGCAGATTCAAAATTGAGGCGATTCTACTTCACCTCAGATCCTGTCCTGCTGAAGATCTTGTCTCAAGGCAGCGACCCTGAAAGCATCCAAGAGGACAGAGACACGACTGAGACTCGTGTGTGCCATGGACAGCCTACCATGGTTTGGTGATGATAAAGATAGCTTGGCCAGTTGATGTATAGCAAATAGCAACCTAAATCTGTGTATCACTTTTGAGGTGTTTGTCTATCGAACTTCACTGGGTAGACTTGCAGGACTTTGAAAAGCTCTTCGATGCCATCAACAGAGCTCCTAACCAAGAGGGACCGCCATTTTTTGCTTTGGACAATTGAGGAGCATCCAAGGTTGCCATTCTGACACGAGCATGTATATGATGAAACCGCAAATCTTCCGTCCGATCGTTTACGTAATGGATCTTCAATCTCTAAGGTCCAGTTCGACAAGGTGGACAGGAAAAAGATTGCCACTTGACTCCGAGTCCTGGGTCGTTTTTTTTTTTTTGGAGGCTTTTGGAATGGCTCAAAATTCATCAACATTTTCCCCAAACAGTGTGTCCACACTGAGGGGTTCTTACAATAAGTGTTAAAGGCCAGGGTTAGATCAGGGTGCTCCATCTAGTCTCTGGCTTTTTCACTGTGAATTCTCGCACAAAAGTTCTCTTGTGCATTTCGACTGCGCAGGCTCGCACAAAGTGCGCGGTTAGGCTTTGTCTCTTTTCGAGGTGTCGATTCTCTTTTTTTGAGCTATGTCCATTTTGTGTGGCAGGCATGGCACTTTCGGGAAATTTTGAGGTCTAAAAGGTCGTTTTGCCTGACAGGTGCAGGACATCGGACACTTTTTCGTCCGTGTGGCACGTGTGGCAGGTGTGACACTTTCTGCACGTTGCTAAAGCGTTGGCAGGCGTGGATCAAAATGAGAGGTGCTTTTGGAGGTCATTTTGCGTGGCAGGCGTAGCATTTAGTGAACTTGGACGACGTTTCGAAAGGGCCGAGAGCATCGTTTTGTGAAACTGTCGTCATTTTTGATTTTGAACATGATGATGATTCCGTGTGGCGGGTGCAGTACTTTGTAGACTCATTGTAGACCTCGGCCGAAAAGTGGCTGAGACCTGGGTAAAACATCGTTTTTGACTTTTTCAATGTTCCTTTCTTGTGTTACGCGCAATGTTTTGTGAAAATCTAACATTTGCTCGCGCAACCCTCTTGTGACTTTGTGCGTGTCGGATCGCTCTCGTTCTGGCGCGCTGCGAATTTTGATATCGCTCGCGCAACCCTCTCGTGACTTTGGGCGTGTCAGATCTCGTTGTGACACGGTGCGAATTTTGATATTGCTTGCGCAACCCTCTCGGCACTTAGTACTTGTGGGATTGCTCTCGTTGTGGCGCGCTGCGAATTTTGATATCGCTCGCACAGCCTTCTCGGCACCTTGTGCGTGTCGGATCGCTCTCGTTGCGGCATGGTGCTGATTTTAGCAGATTCTCTGAGGTCCTGGTTAAGAGATTTCATGAGTTCCGTGGAAGGTCCTTCTATGACGATCTTGCAAGAGTTGCATGGTGCAGTCTTAGAGGTCCGTAATGCGTGAAGCTCTTGACCAAGGTCTTGCAGAGGTACTTGTGCGAAAATGTTGGGAAGATCCTGATGAAATCCCGTCAGAGGTCCTTGCATGAACTTCAACAGGTCCTTATTAGAAGATCTTGTGAAAATTTTGCTGACATCCTTGAAGAGTCCTTGCCTGATCTTGTACAGAACCTTGTCAGAAGATTTTGTGGAGATCCTGGTAAAGTCCTTTCTAAGAGGTCCTTGCGTGAAGATCTTGCAGGTGCCATGTCTTAGAGGTGCTTGTATGAAGGCTTTTCTGGGATGCTCTTGGGAGGTTCTTGTCTCAAGATCTTGCAAGACTCGCTCCAGCAGCAGCAGGTCCCTTTATGACGATCTTGTTGGATAGGGGCCCTGGCATGAAGATCTTGGTCAAGGTTTTTACAAGTCCTTGTGAGAAGATCTTGTAGAGATCCTGGTGAAATCCTCTAAGAGGTCCTTGCTCTTGTACAGGTCCTTGTGAGAAGATCTTGTGGAGATCCTAGTAAAATGCTGTCGGAGACCTTAGCATGATCTTGTACAGGGCCTTGTGAGAAGATCTTGTGGAGATCTGGTTTAATTTATCCTCCACAGGTCCTTGCACTAAGTTCGTGAAGATGCTCTGATTTGGTGCCTGTATGAGAGTTCTTCTGGGATGCTCGTAAGAAGTTCTTGCATAAAGACCTGCTAAGATCCTCTATAGTCAATGCAGAAGGTCCTTCTTTGATGATCTTTTGAAATTCTCTCAGATGTCCTGGTATGAGGTTCTGGTAGGAGGTCCTGCTGGGTAGACATAGCGTTGCTTCTGATGCTAAAAAAGAGTCCTGATGAGTTCTAACTTGAAAATTTCTAACTTGATCTGCACTGTTCCATGGCTACTGTTGCTTGTATCTGGTACGTTGGCTTCCTACCCCCACACTGTTTGGGGTCTCTTGCCGGAAGTTTAGCTAATTATATCTTAAATTTCATATAAATTGTATATAGAGTAGTTGTGCGTGCATTTAATCTATATGTGTATGTATAAATATATATATATACACAATAGATCTATTAATAGCACCCCAAACATGATGGTTTTGGAATGTTTTAGATCCAATCCAAATGACCATCACCTTTTCTTAATCGCAGGTGAAGATTATGGAGACCCATGGCCCAGTGCAGGAGGAAGTCTCATTGCAGCAACTTGGCCTCAAAAAATGACCTCGAGGGGACCCCCACGAAGAATGCCTTGCCATCGATTCTTGGGGGGTTCACCTTCCGGGGTGGTTGAATCCCCATCATGTGTCTCCAATTTTTTTGGCCATCGGATTTGGATGCCCTTTCCGACTGACCGGCATAGGATTTTTTTTTAGGGCAACCCACATTTTAGAGGAACCAATCAGGGTATCCTATGTGTTGGCATCAAGTTCATTGGCCCTTTGCATTCTTCCGGTAAAAGAAGATACAGACGTCAAAACTGAGAACCAGTGAAAGAAGAGATCCTAATGTTGGCATATGAGAAGGTCGGACGTGTTGATGCATGCCAGTCTGCCTTTTCTTGGTATAGATATACAACATTCATATCCGCTTGAATCTGTGAAACGTTTCAAGCACGCGACCTTCACTTTGTGGCGGTCATTGAGGGGGCCAGTACAAGCACAAGGCAACATCGAAGACTGGCTCCTAGCATTGGAGGCCCTGAGAGGAACAACACCTTTTCCGCCCAAAAGGGGCTTTGGACCGCCTGTTATGATCTCAACATTCCCAGAAGTTCAAAGGGAAAACTAGTAGGATTTGGTAGGATCCTGGTTATTTTGGATGGCAAAACATCATTGTTTCATGGTTTCCCATCATTTTTCCCTGACATCAACTCAGTGAAACAGCCTGGTTTCACCCCCTGCCATGAGATCAGCCTTCCCATCCACCAGGCTGAAATGCAGAGATCCGTGCGCCGGGAATGCAACATTTGCTCCAGGGAGTGCGGACAGGTGTGGGGCCTGGAGCTGGGAGTTGCAAACTTTATCCATCCAGGCAGCTGCAAGTTGAGGCTTTCAAGGAAACTGGGTTCTACGGCTTGGTTGGAAAGTGGCCCAGATCTACACACGCGAAATAAATCATCTCAAATGACTAAGGATTATAATCAATTTCCTTTTTTTTCCGTTGTTTTTTGGTGAACCACCGAGTAGACAGGCTTTGCCGCATCGGCAGGTTCTGAACGGCACATCGATGTCAGACTTTGGCAAGAAGTGTATCGCCCAGGTGTCCCTGCTTGGCAACCTGACGAAAACCCGAAATCGGCTTCCCAGAAGCCATGTTGTTGAGATTTGTTGAGGAACTTTCACAGAAACTCATGTCAAATTGTATTTACATGCCAAATGTGGGGTGTATCTCCCATTTTGCTGCCGTTTTTTTGGAGTCCCCACCTGCAACAAATGAATGGAAACGGCAATGCCCAAGATCCAAGAGATCCAGTAGCTGGTGCACTCCAATGCCGAACTTGGAGCAGTGCGGAAGCGGTACACCCACCGAAAAAATGGCAACTTTAATGGGGAAACTGATGATTAAGCAGTGGATTTGGGGGTACCAAAAATTTTCAGAGGAAATTGGAAGCACCAGTCATGATCAGCAATTTGTCTTCTGTACTTGGAGTCAAAATAGTCATAGCCGGTCCCTCCAAAACAGACCATGGACCATGCTGTGGGGATAGGTCTAAAACCAATGGTTCCCATATGCCATATGAATGGGGCAACGAACATCCATGTGTGCAACACCTATTTTGATGTGAAAACAGTTTTGCCTTGATGATCAATTTCCAATCGTTGATGGTGAAATGGGTGAACTTCCCTAAATAAGAATCCCGAAATGGCTTCGACTAGGTTTTAATCTAAAGCCGCACAAACACACATACGTGCACACACACCCACATATACATCTACATACGCATACATACGCATATACATACGCATGTACATACGCATATACATACGCAGATACATACGTATATACATACGCAGATACATACACATATACATACGCATAAACATGCGCATATACATAGGCATATACATAGGCATATATATATAGGCATATACACAGGCATATACATAGGCATATACATAGGCATATGCATATGCATATACGTACGCAACAACATCGCATATATATACATACGCATATACATACGCAACAGCAAACGCAACAACATACGCATATAGATACGCATATACATAGGCATATGCATACCCATATACATACACAGATACACACACAGATACATACACAGATACATACACAGATACACACAGATACACACAGATACATACACATATACATACACAGAAACATACACAGATGCATGCACAGATACATACACAGATACATACACAGATACATACACAGATACATACACAGATGCATGCACAGATACATACACAGATACATACACAGATACATACACAGATACATACACAGATACATACACAGATACATACACAGATACATACACAGATACATACACAGATACATACACAGATACATACAGATACACAGATACATACTTACATACTTACCTACTTACTTACCTACTTACCTACTTACTCACTTACAAACTTACTCACTTACATACTTGCTCACTTACATACTTACTCACTTACATACATTACTTACATACATTACCTAGAGACATTATTTACATACATTACTTACATACATTACTTGCATGCATTACTTAAATACATTACGTATGTACATTCCTTACATGCATTACTTACATACATTACTTGCATACATTACTTAAATACATTACGTATATACATTACTTACATACATTATTTACATACATTACTTACATACATTAGTTACATACATTACACACACATTACATACAGTACATACATTTCATACATTACATACATACCATTATACCATACATACCATACATACATACATACATACATACATACATACATACATACATACATACAATACAATACATACAATACATACACTACACTACAAAATACATACATACAATACATACAATACATACATACATACAATTACAATTACAATACATATACATACCATACATACAATACACATACATACCATACATACAATACATACAATACATACAATACCTACAATACCTACAATACCTACAATACAGCACAATACAATACATACAGACAATACAACAATACATACAATACATACAATACATACATACATACAATACATACAATACATACATACATATACACATACATACATACATACATACATACATACAATACATACATACATACATACATACATACATACATACATACATACATACAATACATACATACATACATACATACATACATACATACATACATACATACATACATACATACATACATACATACATACATACATACATACATACATACATACATACATACATACATACATACATACATACATACATACATACATACATACATACATACATACATACATACATACATACATACATACACATACATACATATACATACATACATACATACATACATACATACATACATACATACATACATATACATACATACATACATACATACATACATATACATACATACATACATACATACATACATACATACATACATACATACATACAATACATACATACATGACATACATACATACATACATATACATACATACATACATACATACATACATACATACATACATACATACATACATACATACATACATACATACGTACGTACGTACGTACGTACATACATACATACATACGTGTTTGCGTGCGTGCATGCGTGCATGCATGCATGCATACATACATACATACATACATACAGACACACACACACATACACACATACACACATACACACATACACACATACACACACACATGTACATGTACACGTGCCACTCAGATGGCTCTGCAGCCAACCCAGGTATCCAGCTCATTTGGACCATTGATTTTCAAGATGCCCTCACTCGAATGGCAAGAGACAAGGACAAGACGGTGATGGGTGCAGCCAACAAGATGCTTGAGTTGGCAATGGATTTCCATGTGGGTATGAGTCAAAATTGGCTTTGAAAAATTGGATGGTCCAATATAAAACTGACCAAAACCTGTGGATCCTGCGGTCCCTTCAGTCTGTCATTTTGATCCCAATGCTTGGCATTTAAGATGATTTTCTTTCTTTTCATCTACTTGAGGACTGCTGACGTTGAATGTTTGCAACCTCCTTATAGCTCATGACCGAGTGATTTACACCAGGGCACTCCATTTATTGCGGCACAGATTTAGCACGAACCAAGGAAGTTTACTCAGATGCTGACAGACCTTGTAGGCAAGACCAACTTTGTTGTTTGGGGTGGCTCTCTTGGGTGATTTGCAGGGTGCGAGAAACTTGAAGAAATTTGCTCAGAATCCGATGGATGTCCTCCCTCTCAATTAAAAACTGGGACCTGGAGACTCCATTTTGGTTTGGGTTCATATCGTTGTTGTTGGTTCATGTCCCAGATTTTCGTTGGGTCACCAGTTTTGTTGGTGAATCTGGTCACTTCCTGCGCTTGGCCAGCCATTTGCCTCACGAATCTGCCATCGAAGATGGAACGAACCAAGTTCGTCAAGGGCTCAGTGCATCGCAGTGCGACACGTTGAGGGGTTCCGATTGAGGAATAGATCTGAGTAAATCACGGAAAACTTATAACCTCACCATACATGATGCAAATGAGGGGTGAACATCCATAACAACTGGTCATTTTTTTTGTAAACTAGGGTACATACTATCCATAGTCATTTGTTGGACATGAATCATTTGTTGTTCAGATGGCCAGTCGAAGTGGATCCCTAGCGGATGACCTAAGGAAACTCTGGTGACTGTGCACGTCCATCAGAAGGACCTCTTCCTGGAGGTCTGGAAGAAGGCGACAGGGGAGCGGGCGTCCAGTTGGCCAGTTGGTGACGATACTTTAGACGGGTAGATGAAACTAAGAAATCCATAGAAATCCTGCAGATGTAAACTCAATGTCCCGTTCTATTTTCAATGTCCACCTTCAAGTTTTCCATATGCTCTGAATGAATTATAGTGAATGATAGTTAGGATTATTCACTATAAAATGTAGTGAATGATAGTTAGGAATAATAGGCCATAATTATAGTGAATCATCCCCAAATGGCCTATTAAAATTCAGCCTGGGACATAGATCCCCAGTATCCCGTCGGCACAAGTCGGCAGCCGTGTGGCAGGCTCGTGAAGGCAAAGTGAAGGACGAGAACGACTTCGAATGGCTGAAGCAAACAAGGACCCTTGGAAGAAATATGGTCAGTTTTTGGCCCTTGGTTTGATGTAGTGAAGCAGAACATGGGGATATATTGGGATACTGTTTACACAATGAGTTTTCACCGAAATTAGATTTTGTCCGAAAATTATTGCGACGTACCCATTTCATCCAATGGTTTAAACCCACATTTCCCCATGATTTGATGGCTTTGCGATTTGGGGGACTCTTAAATAGCCATTTACCAATGGTATGACGGATATCCTCCGGTCGCTTTGTCATGGGTAGAACAGATGATGCCGCGGAGCCATTTGCTCTGTTTAACATGTTTTGCGATCCTCACGATCCTTCGCATAAACTCAGTGGATGGCCCAAATGGGATGTAATTGGCTGATCATTGGTGCCTGGTTCCAGGCTCTACTGGAAGGCAGAGACCGACCATGCAGTGGTGTCCATTGCCGAAGCTTGGAAGAACTGGCCGACTTCCAGGGCATGCCGCCCTTGGAGTGCTGCACTAAGTCGCTAAGTAGTACGTAAATATGGTAAACCCAGTGACAAGTCTGTTTTTTTGAAGTTTACAGCCCCATGTGGTAAAAATGGCCGAGTGTAACATTGTTTCTTCCCAATCTTCCCAACAGCAGTGCTTCGATCCAAGGCTGCGTCGGGGCTTTTGAGTCTGATTTGCGTAGGTGAACTCCCCATCTTGGCAAGGTGCCACTATTTTTGTTGGTTGACTCCCGTTTTTTGAGTGGGTGAACTCCTAATTTGAGGTTGTGTAATGTGGTTAAACCCAATAAACCAACCCCAAAATCACCATAAATGGATATGTCCTTCATTCTTTGGTAAATCTCCATCAAACGCCCAGGACGTGGACTTCGTGTATTCCTATGAGTACTTGGGCTGTAAGGAACGACTTGTCATCACCGCCTTGACAGATCGTTGCTACGTGACACAGTCACAGGTCGGGTTTGACCCGTGGGATGTGGAAAGGGCAAACAGAAAACCAATGACCAGGCAGACTTTTGAGGAACATAAATTTGGATTAATTTGGATTGAAACCACCTTCTTGTTGGATAGTCCAGAGAGTTAATTCTCCCCCATCATGAAATCGGTCACCAAACCAGGGCGCCTAGTAGAAGTGCCCATGGATCATGTGGGATGCGGATGACCAACTGGGGTGACATCCAATGCTCAAATCCCCACTTTTGCTAGCGACATGCCAATTTTGTTTGGTGAAACCCAGAATTTGTTTAGTGATATTCCTATTCCTGTGAACTTTGAACTCTCGAAAAATTCGAGTGAACTCCCCATTCGGAGGCTGGTGAAAAATGCGTGATTTTTTTTCATTTTGATGAAAAATCCCTTGGTGAAACTCCAGGCAGTTTGACCCGGCCTTGCCGCAGGCTTTGGGCATGTTCTTCGGTGGAGCGCCAGCAGGGCCGGCGGGAACGGGCAAGACGGAGACGACCAAGGAGCGAGGCGTTTTTTTTGGGAGTTGGGGGGCAATTTTTGGGTTGCAATGAGCGTTTTTGTTTTTTTTTTTGAACTATTTTGGGCCCAAATTTGAGTTGGGACAAACATGTCAAGAACAGAGGGATTTCAAGGGCCAAATTCTTAGGTTCCTTTTGGGAAAAAGCAGATGTGTTCTGCCAACCACACAAATTTGGGGGGTTATATTCACCACCAAAAACAGGGGAGATCGGATATCCATTCTGCGGCATTCTGGCAGGACATGGGCCGCACCCTGGGAGTGTTCGTGGTTCCTTGACCAACCAAGCCTTCAGCTGTTTCAGTAGAAATGTGCATGGAATACATATACACATAGAATCACATAGATATAGATGATTGACATAGACATTCTTACGCATACAATTACACACAGTTACATAGAATAGAACATATGCAGCATATGCACGTCATGCTAAGAAGGCAAGACATTGAGCCCTGGGCCGCCTGGGCCCATCAGGATATCCCGCTCCCAGGTTGTCACGAATTGCTCCGATCAGCACCGCTTCAGAGACATGGCCAAGATCTTCAAGGGCCTTTGCATGAGCGGACTGCCACTTGGAATAAAGGTGTGAGGAGCCTGTGCTGAACGATATCCTCATCCCCTACCTGGAATCAACTCCTATGAATAATGTAAATGCGGTTAAAGGGGACCTCAAATCAAAGAAGATCCAATACATTGAAGCGGGGTTTGCATCGGGACGTGTTTATTTTTCGGCATGTTTTTCTCTTTTTGATGCTAAAACAGAGGAGTCTTTGCCTAGATTCACTCTATGGTAAATAAATATGAAGCGGACAAATAGCCGTATATGCACCCCATGGTAATGTAATAGAGCTATGGAAGTTACCATTTTAAATAGGTAAAACATCCAAAAATTGTCCATTTCCCATAGCTGTGTTACTTTACCAAAGGGTCGACGATTTTCCGAAAGATGCCCAGGTGGGGATGCTTTGACGAGTTCAATCGCATCGAGCTTGAAGTGCTCAGTGTGGTAGCCATGCAGGCCGAGAAATTCCGTGGCGATTTTTGAACCCAGAACTGTGGGGAAAACCATGGAAAATCCAGCACCCAAACTTCAACCAGGAACCATGCCTTTGGGAACAATTTTGGACCAAACAGCTGGTCCTGCAAAATTTTGGAACCAGTGGGAATGGTCCGTTCCCTACATGGCTACTACCTGGTAGGGCATCAGGGCAGCCTATCAACAAAGAATGCCAACATCAACATGCAGAACCGTTTGCAGCAGATTTGTCGACCGTGCTCACGCCGAATCAATCGGATTGGACTTGAAATGCAGTGGCATTGCAGTGGCATTGCAGTGGCATTGAGATGTCCTGGCAGGTGGAGTCCATTTGTTCCGCGAAGCGGCAAGCCGTTCCTTGGACTCTGTGAACTCGGAGCCTTTGGGGCTCACAGCTTGGGTTTGTCCACTTGGGGCATGGGACAGCATATGACAGCATACATCAAAATGCCAATTGTCGGAAAACCTGATACTTAGATATGTGCCATGGTACCATGGTGAAATATGGATTATCTCTCTCTCTCTCTCTCTATCTCTCTATCTATCTATCTATCTATCTATATATATATATATCTATCTATCTATCTACTATCTATCTATCTATCTATCTATATATACATACACGTATATTCACAGTAGCCTGCCTGATCTATGTTGGTTATGCATAAGATGTCACATGAGTTGACTCAACATATCCATCCATATGGCCACAGCAATAAAGATCTGATCATCGCTCTGAGGTGGCCACCTTCATGTTCCCAGGCAGACCGATGGAGTGTAGACCGCACAGTTTTGTCCATTTCCATGGGGAAAAAATATGGGAAATTATGGAAGACAGTGGCATTTTTATGTGAAAATGATGATGCCCCCAGTTTTTTTTCAGGGTACGACATCATTTTTGGACACAAGACCTTGTTGGGGTTGATTCTGTGAAGCCCTGTAAATCAGCCAGCAGCCATTGATGGTTTGTTCGCAGAGCCAGCGTAAAATGGCACCCGCAAATTTGGGATATACTTTTTCGCATTTTCAGACCCGGTTGAGCTTGGCATAAAAGATGATGGACGTGCAACGAAAATTCGAACGCCAGCCCCGAAAATTCGAGTACTACCTTTTGAAAGGATGTGTTTTTGCATACTCCCGTGTTTTTTTTTGCCGTTTTTCCGGGTACCCCAGCCTCATGGTTGATGATCATTTCCCTGATAAACAATGCTGTATATTGGGCGTGATCCCAAATGATCTTTTGCTTTCGCGACATGAATCATCCACAACAGGTGAGCCAGCACCAATCAAGCTGGTCCCCTCTGCCTCTTGTCAAACAATTGGGATGGTCATCTTCATCATTTGGAACTTGGTTATTCTGGTTGAACTATTGTTCAGCTAGATGATTGTTGTGGGCCACCTGGTTGGTGGTTTCACATGTTCTTTTTCTTATCCTTTAAATATTTCGGATAATGATCCCAAAGTTGCTTGTTTCAGTGGGGTTGAAACCAGCATAGTGGCTGGAGAGTTTCGTCGCCAGCGTTGGAGAGGATCCTGCAAGCTCCACTTCCCCAGAAAAGCTGCTAAGCTAGTTCCAAAAAAAGGTAAAAACAAAAGGCCACTCCCAAGTTTGATGGATTTTGATGGTGGATGTTCCGTTTTTTTTCCTGGAACAACATTTCTGAGGTGGGATACTTCATCACCATGAACCCTGGTTATGCCGGGCGACAAGAACTGCCTGAGCCCCTTGGCTGTTGGAAAAAATATCAGTGATGAACTTGTCATGAACTGGAACCGGGTAGATGCCGGTAGATGCTGTCAAGATCCAAGGAACATGCGGATTTAGTTAAACATGGGCAGTTGGAAGGCTGTAACTCACGAAAGATGGGATTTACCTCAACAAAATGGAGACTCAACCAGCAAGGACAGGAATTTAGCTCACAAAAGATGGAGATATAGATTCTAAAATATGGGGGCTTTCGCTACTGGCAATGGGAATGTAACCAGCAAAGATTGGAGTATCACCAGCTCAAAACTGTGTCACTGGTATCCCACAGGGAGGATGAACAGCGCGCGTTGATGAGCAGATGTTTGGGCTGGACACTATCAATCTTTCATGACTTTCACTGCATTTTCTTGGTTGTTGTCGGCCATTACATGGCAAGCATCCAGTTGCACACTTTGAAACGTCATTCAGTGACGTGACCAGACTTGGACTGGTCCAAAAATATCCCATGCTTAATCACATCTACCATAGGACTTGCCATATATCTGGGGGGTACTTGCTTAACCACATCACATTCTCCACATTTTTGGGTTACCCTGGACCGAGGAACGTGAAGGCGCTCTTCAGGAGTGTGGTCTGGAACTCAGGACCACTTCCAGCTATACAACAGCAACATGTTGATGTGAAAAACCTGATGGGTGAAATCAAATCCATACCGGTCCATAGCCCTGATGTATCCCAGGCAATGATGGTGCCAAATCGCGAGACCATCATGAAGGTGAAATTGGCTTCTGTAGGACTGGACCTGTGCAGCCTTTCTTAAGAGCTTGGTTCTATCAAGATGTTTTATTGATATTGTTGTTCCGTTGTCTTTTTTCGTGGTTCCAAAATCATATGTAATTGTAATGGGAATTGGCCACCACTTGATGTGAGACATTCCTGTCCCTTGAAGCCCCTCCTGTTCTAGCCATATGATCTTCTGCCCTATGACTTTGAAAGTTAGTTCGAGAAATTCTACACCCATGTGTATATACATATATATATATAATATATATATATATCACATGATTATACTATGGGGTACCGTTTCCAATTGGCGGTTGGGAAGTATGACTAGTTTTACCCTCGTTCATTCACTCAACTGGGGCTTTGTTGTTTGTCCTGGACATTCGCTTGTCCCGAGCGTGGCCTGGGCCCTCAGCTTCGATCGAAGGATATTCCGGCTTCGAGCTGTTGGGCAAAAAGTTCTGCATTTTGTATGCCCTTTGTGAGCAGCAGCTCAGCAAGCAGAGGTCCGCTTGGAAAGGGGGACGCTGAAAGATGTTGAAGGAATCGGGTGAACTGTTGGAACATAGAAACATGAGACTGTTGAAAACGGTGGAGATAGAGATCCACATTTTTCTTTCGGCTTCTGAAATTGATGATGGAAAAGTCGACGTGTCTCCTGTGGTTGAGGGGCCCTGAATCTTGACTGCTGGCCAGGCACTACGATTTCGGACTGCGAAACATCCTGAGCGAACGCCTCAGAAATGCTGCATCCGATCACCTTAAACAGCAGACATGGCGAACTATGGGATCAGGGCAGTTCGTATCTATATAGATACATACATTCCTATTATCATGATTCTTGTTTTCATCATGAGCATCATCGTTATCAATAATTGATATATATATGCATTAATATATATATATACATATACATATATATATATATACATACACATATATATATATATACATACATATCCATACACATCTCCATCGCCATCTCCCCTGCGCCTTTTTTTCTCTCCGTCCCTGCTGAACGCTGCTCCTTCGCGCCGAGCTCAACTTTTAGGTGTCCTGCGAACCAGTGGAGGCGTCAAGCGCTCCGAGCCTCCAGATGCAGATGAGGAGAGCCATGGATCCTGAGAACCGGAGCTCCAGAGGTTTCCCATGTCACAAGATGTCTACATTTTGTGGTCAGCAACAATCATACTGATGACAATGATAATACATGATACTGACAAACAATGATTATACTCATAACAATGATAATCATGTTAATGTTATATTGTTATGTTTATCAGTATGATATATACCCATGATAATGACAAAACATGTTATATTGTTGGGCATATGGTTGACATGGCTGAACATCGCTGGGATGTATCCAAGATTTGGAGCATTGGCCTCAAAGATGGTGAGAATTTTTAACCGTTTTCCTGTGATGTTCCCATAAACCAACGCATTGACTATTATGTTTGGTGATAAAAAATCACCATTAAATAAACGTTAAATCACCATTAAATCCCATAAAATCCCGAGTTTGATGGTTGTTGAATCCCATAAAATCCAAGATCTTCGCCATGCCATGGCAGCCACCCCGCAGGAGATGCTCTTTATGCGCACAGTGCGTGACATGCCACCCGGTGGCAGATGAAGCCGATGTTTGAAAAAAGAACTGGTTGAAAAGGGCTGGAACATCGGCTATAGGCTATATTGTAACCCGCAAAAAGACAGAAACGTAGTTTGTCACTTGTAATTCTAGTACGTTTGTGTTCTGCTGTTTTTTTTTGGGAGTTGCTATGATTTGATATTGTATGGCAATGGCATATTATGGTATCGCATGCATATGGCAGATGGCATTATATATGGAACATCGGCCACCGACTTTGAAAATCTACCGTGCTTTTTCCCAATCTAGGCATCAAACATCATTAAACGTTGTCTTGAAAGTAAGGGTACTTGCGTAGAATAAGGTACATAGGGGAAAGACTGGGAAAGGGATGTTCGATCAGATAGGAATCACAGTGGATTCCAAGGGTTCACGGGAACATCCCATCACCCTTTCCAGATGCCCAGGAATCTGTCAAAGCTGGCCGGGGAGCATGGCTGTGATGTCGGGATGGTTTACGTTGTTGTTAATCAAACTTGCCAATGTCATTTTCCTGGATTTTGGAACATTTTCCAGTTGAAGATTATTTTTTGGTAAAAATGGACATTGGACATTCCATTGCCTCTTTGTTTACCAGCGGGGGTATATATTGAATTGGGCTCCCAGCCAGCTACCCATGTCCAGATCTCCGCTGCTATGATCCTGACTGTTTGCAACACATCCACTGAGCTATGGAATGCTATGGAGTTATTCATCGTCTCACGTGACGCGTTTGTTTTTTTAATAAGGTGTTTTAACTCAAACGTACTGAGTTGTGAATCCGTCACACGAGGTGCAATGGCAGCTTGCATTGATGTGTCAACGTTTCATCTACCCAAACCAATTTTTTTCCCTAGAAAGCCCTCATGAAAGGTCTCAAAGCTCTCAAATGGGTGTTGAGATAGATGTGTATATCCCAAAGTTACAGGCAAAGGCACCGCTGCTATTGAAAATCTACAAGATGTGTACGTACTGTATATACACCTCCATTGTGTACATACATCTACAATGCACTATATATATATATATATCATTGTATATCTATATACATACACACACACATATATATATACATGTATACATATATATATATGCATTCGCAAATGTACCTGTATACACACAGTGGAATACAGGTGATTTCTGTGCTCAGGTGGCTGATGACGTGCCACTCTTCCTCGCGCTGCTGAAGGATCTTTTCCCAAAGGCGTCGTGATGTCTGAGTTCCGCTGCTGTTTTGGGCTGCAGGGTGGCACACCAGTCTCAGATTTGGGTAGTATGTATACAATCAATATACATATATATATACATATATATATACATATATATATACATATATATATACATATATATACATATTATATAAATATATACATATTATATATATATAAATATGCGTGTATATATATATACATACACATATGTATATACATATCCATATTTTAGGCACATACACATATGACATGGTATCCCTCTTGTCTTCCCCAGCTCGGCCAAGCTCAGCCCTCCGCTCAGTTCTGGGTCATTCCGCCAGGTCACTGATCCACCGAAGAAGGTCTACAAAAACGTGGAGGACGGTTCCAGGGTCGCAGCCTCGGTGCTCGTAAGACTCCGGAGCTTGGCTGGGAAAAGAGTGGAGATGATCAATTTTGGATTTATTATTGTTATTCTTATTATGATGTTCTATAGTTTTTGTTGCTACTATTGTTGTATCATTTTTATATACTATAATCCTTTCCCCCTAATACTAAACGCCCCCCCTCTATTAATAAACACCTCAGGTAGTTTTTAGTATTAGGGTGGTATTGATTATTAGGGAACCCTATTAATGAAATTAAACCCTTAATAATAAAAACTATTTTTTCCGATCTCAAAATCAATTAAATTTCCTTATATAACGCAATTAAAATATTGCCAAAAATTGGATTTCGAAGCGGACCCTATTACTAAAATAATTCCCTTAATAATAACAACTATTTTTTCCGATCTCAAAATCAATTAAATTTCCTTATATAACGCAATTAAAATATTGCCAAAAATTGGATTTCGAAGCGGACCCTATTAATAAAATAAAACCCTTAATAATAAAAACTATTTTTTCCGATCTCAAAATCAATTAAATTTCCTTATGTAACGCAATTAAAATATTGCCAAAAATTGGATTTCGAAGCGGACCTATTACTAAAATAAAACCCTTAATAATAAAAACTATTTTTTCCGATCTCAAAATCAATTAAATTTCCTTATATAACGCAATTAAAATATTGCCAAAAATTGGATTTCGAAGCGGACCCTATTACTAAAATAAAACCCTTAATAATAAAAACTATTTTTTCCGATCTCAAAATCAATTAAATTTCCTCATATAACGCAATTAAAATATTGCCAAAAATTGGATTTCGAAGCGGACCCCTATTAATAAAATAAAACCCTTAATAATAAAAACTATTTTTTCCGATCTCAAAATCAATTAAATTTCCTTATATAACGCAATTAAAATATTGCCAAAAATTGGATTTCGAAGCGGGCCCTAATAAGAAATTAAAAGCCCTAAAAAAAATCGGACGGACCCTAATAATAAACACCCCGGGGTGAACTAGTTTTTATTATTAGGGGGCAAAACCCACAAATGGTAGCTGGATTTTTAAATTGTTTTCTAAAGGGGATCAATTAAACATCAAATTGGCCAATCTGAAATTTTCCAAAATTGGAGATGGACCCTAGTTTTTAGTATTGGCTACGTTTAGTAATAGGGGGAAGGGATTATTATCATTATTACTACTTTATGACTATCATTAAGATCATTGCTATTCTCATTAGCGCATGATTTGCCTTTTGTTTCTTCTAATCCATGGCAGGACAAATCTGCACGGATCCAATGGTTGACCATTCCCGGTCTCGCTCCAAGGTCTTGATTTCCAAGAACTTCCTGGTGGATTGGGACACCTGGATGTTGAAGGTCATTCAGCTGTAGCTCGGCATTGCCGTTTCGAAAGTGGTAAATGGGAGATGATGTAAACCAACAAGATATGGAATATATATATATATACATATATATGGAAGTATACAGATATATTATAAGATATATATATATACACATTAATATATGAGCCCGCAATAATGGGATGCTGGTTCGGACATTGATTTTGCAAAAGTGAAAGTGCCCAACTTAGTCTTTTCGCACCTTTGTTCCTGTTGTGGTCGCCAGACCCATTTGAGGTATGAGACGTCTTTGGTGCGTCATGGCTTCATGCTGGTGGGCCCCACACTTTGCCAGGGGCCCGGCTGTGGGAAGATCATGGGATGTCCGACCAAGATATTGGATTGAAGACCGGGGAATGTGATTTTCTCAACCGCCGGGACTTTGGGCTTATCATGAAATTCAAAGACATTGCACAGACACCAACAGTGTTAATCCAGAGTGCCCCAGTTCCACTTAGGGTCCATATTGTTGCCATGATTGAAGCTATGGATTGCTGGCTTGTTCGATGCACTGTATTCCAGTTTGAGTAACGTCAATGTACGTTTGTTCAAGGCCTCACTATTGATGGGTTTGTCCGAATATATAGCATCTGACACAGTCTGACAATCCAATGATATCCAATGTTTTATCATCATTTTCTCATATTTTCTCCATTGAAATACATAGGGGGGTATTTTCTCCATTGAAATTGCCATAGGGGGGTATGCCATTTCGCCATTTCTGGGCGCTGGTGGACTTCACCTGGCACCAAGGTGGAAAGACCGAGATTCGAGACATCTTGACCACCTGCCTGCACAATGTTGCTCGGTCCAGCTGGCAGCCTTGATATCTTGGAACAAAATGCTTAGTAGCCATAAGTAGCCCTGATTCATGTAAACACCTCCTTCTTGTTCAATCGTATTTCATCAAAACACCTTAGATTGGATGCTCTGCAGCTTTTGCTCTTCCTGCTTCAGATCTGTTTCACCGGCGATTTTCAGGATGGCCTGGCTCACAAGCAAGTGGTGATGAACCCCAAGGCGATCACAGACTCCCAGATGTGCCCCAGATGTTGGTGCAGATCGATTAATTTTGGCGCGCAAAGATGTGCAGCGCACTAGGGGGGGGGTCTGTCCATTTAGACGTATCCATATGCGTATCCATATCTATATCTATGATTATCTATATCCATGTCAAAATCTATATCAAAATCGAAACGTATATCGAAATCTATATCGATGTCTAATGATGACGACGACGACGACAACGATGATGATGATGATGATACTGCTGCTACTACTAGACAGGAACTTACTCCTACCCCGTGAAACAGGAACTTACTCCTACCCTGTCAGACAGGATCTCGGATAGGAACTAACTCCTACCCCGTGAAACAGGAACTTACTCCTACCCGGTGAGACAGGAACCTACCAATCAAATGACACAACATGGTTGCCACTGGCATCCAGCAAATCTTCCTGGTGCATGCACAAGGTGGTAGATGAGTACAATAATAACATGTTGCAATGCTTTGTAACACGCTGGAACAAATGATGGCCGAAATGCTGCAACTTGTAAGAAGTGCGAAAGAAGTAATGTCCAACATGGATTTCATGTGGCGAGTTTAGAGCTAAATGCGCAGAGTGTGAGTATGTCATTGATCGACGTTATTGCCCACAGACACCCCAGCACATGACAGGGATGTCAACATCAGTTTTCTCTGCATTTGATTTCTGATGACAGGGATGTACATGATCTTACTCTCCGTGTACCATATGATTGCAGTCCGTAGTTCCAAGAGATTGAAGAAGCCTATGTATACCTATGTAATCCTATGTATGTATGTATGTGATATATATATATATAGGTGACCATATAGCTCACCCCCGCCCCCATGATCTACCCCAATGATGCAAGGGCCCACCTTTGACCACTGTGCAAGACTCTTTTGGTGCCCTCTGCTCATAAAAAGGTTGATGTCGTTTTGGAGATTCAGAAAATAAACATTGGCAAGATGGGAAGAAACAAGTGTTCTAGGCATTTGATTTGCAGAAAAATGTTGTTACAAGAAAATGCTGCTTACAGGTTACAATCTGCCTTGAAGACAAGATATTCCCTCAAATAAGAAACACTATTCTTGCAAGAAAACTATCATGTGTGGAAGGATGCAATACATGCTTTAATGAAGCTCAGCCTTCCTCTCACTTCTCTTGTATGACCATGGTTTTCTGTTTTTTGATGAAGTAGAGGTAACAGAGTAAGAAGAATGCGTTGATCAAACATATTTAACATACAATGTCTACACCTTTGCTATAGCTTCAATATATCTTTAATATACCATTCTATTGACTCAGCACAATATCTTCAAGAAACCTTGAGTATGTCTTTCAAACAACCTTCAATGCTTTATATGCAATCTAATATACCTTTAGAATACCTTCATATATATTATATTTATATGATATATAAATACATTATATATATAAATACAATTTTATTGGCCATGTTCTTGCCTCGAATATACCTTTAGGATACCATTAATATACCTTTGATGTAACTCTTAAATGCCATCTAATACATCTATACTATACCTGCAATATACAATTTAATATGCCTTTAGTATATCATGTACCTAGAATCTACCTTTGATATACCTTTTACTTGACCTTCAAAATAATTTTAGTATGCCTTGACGATACCTTCAATGCATATACCTTTAATATACCAGTTGATTTACCAGTTAATATACCTTTAGTGTACCATTTAGCAAAAGATGAGAATACCTTGAATATATTTTTTAACATACCTTTAACATACCTCTAATATATCTTTAAGATCTTTTGATATTCCTTTTGACATACTGTTCATAGACCATGTCATATACCTTGAGTGTATCATTTAAAATATACCATGAATATACTGTACCTTTGTTGTTTTTTGAATATCCCTTCAATATACCATTTTATTGACCATGAAAACATGTTTTCATTATTAATATACCTTCCATATACCTTTGCACTACAACTCTTTTCTAAATATATTGTATATTGTTTTCAATGAATACTGCATAGACTAAGAGAGCTTTCTTATTGAAGTAATTCTGTGCTTTTTCAAAGGGACCTCACACGTTTGTTGGCATTTTCTAAGGAATACTGCGCCCATGAAAGAGTCTTGCAAAGTATGCTAGTTTAAAGCAATGTTCCATTTTCTCATACTGTTCGTAATCGAATAATGCAAAGAGTGATGCTGCGCTACTACATGTGCTTAAGAATACAACAAACATCAAAAGAGTGCTGCGTCCATTCAAAGGCTTTCTTTCAAGGCAAAACTGGTTCAAAGTACTACTGCATCTATCCCTTTGAAAGAAATGGTACAATCTTTAAAAAATGCTCCACCATTTCATGCAATATGTCCGATACTCTTTCAAAAGAGTACTGCATCCATTTAAGGACTTTCTTTACAGGTAAGACTCTTTCAAAGTACTACTACTGCATCTATTGACGCATTCTACGACGCAGAAGCAGTACATTCTTTTACAACATGCCTCACTGGCCTCAACCATTTTACACAATGTGTCTGGTACTCTTTGAATCAAATACTGCATCCAATGAAGGACATTCTTTACACGTAAGATTCTTTCAAAGTCCTGCAGCATCTATTAAAGCATTCTGCTACAAAGCAATGTTACATGTTCTCAAAGAAATACCCCACCATTCCCCGCAAAGTATCCAAAAGTGTCAGTTTCCAGGTACTTATATACTTTGTTTGAATATGTCAAACATAGACAGGAATGTGTATGTACGAATCCAAGGTTCCAAGATTCCAAGATTTGCACAGAAGTTGCTAGAGATAGAGCAGGAAAGCGCTGCAACAGCTAATTTTCAAGTGCATAAACATCACAGCACATCCTATGCCAAGCTTAGTCTCGCATAGTGCGCAAGCTCTTGAGTGAGAAACTTTGATCAAAGTTTGACTTCCCAGGACCGACAAGGTAAGCACGCATAAGGACACAGCTGGCAATCCTGTGCATCATAGCAACACCAAAAAAATCAAGAAAACCACAACTTTTGAGAGAATGTTTGGTTTTGACGCAAAATATGTGTTTTTTTGGTTTTCCCTAGGTTTTTTTTTGTTTTTTTTTGGTTCTGAATGGAAAACGTTTTTTTTTTTTTGAATGGACATGATCAATCAAGGTTTCAAAAAACCTTATTTTTTAATTTGAGACTTTTCAATGCAGAAAACCAAACCTAAAATGTTGAAAAACACAAAAAACCTTGACTGTTTACTTTGAGATCTTGATTGATCATATCCATTGAAAAAACAAAAACCCAAGTTTTTTTTGTTTTTCCATTTCAGAACCAAAACAAAAGCAAAAAACCTAGGGAAAACAAAAAATAACAATCTTTTGAGTCAAAACCAAACATTCTCCCAACAGTTTATTTTGTTTTGGTTTTGCTTGAGTTTTTTGTTTTTCCCGGTTTTGTTTGCTTTTCTCGATGTGGCCCAAGTTGTTCGAGCTTCAGGTTCCAAGCTCAAGCCCCCCCCAAAAAGTCTCAAAATATTGTTTTTCCTTATGCAAGTATGGTTGTAAAGGGTGAAGCAGATGATAGGGTGAAGCAGACCAGGGGGTGAAGTGGTCAGACAAAAGTTTTGAATCAGTCATTGCCATTGTTCAAGAATGCATTAGATACTATAATTGCAACCCAAATATATTGAAACATCCATGTGCAGAAACCTGCCCCCCATGAGCGCCCCTTTTGCAAGTTATTGTTTTTTCCGGTTATGCTTTGTATGCAAAAAATGGTAATTCCCATATAAATGCTTCTAGGTAGATCCTGGGGGGGTCACCATATACATACAAGCATGCAAGCATGCAAGCATACAAGCATACAAGCATACAAGCACATGCATGCATGCATGCATGCATGCATACATACAGACAGACAGACAGACAGACATACAGACATACATACAGACATACAGACATACAGACATACAGACATACAGACATACATACATACAGACATACAGACATACAGACATACAGACATACAGACATACAGACAT